TTTCGGAAATAACAGGATCCCGCATCCAACACGCAACAACAAAACACAAAACACACTTTTTGGTTCTTTCATTGTTTTTAATCGTAATTTATGTAATACATGATTTGGATAAATTTTACAAAAATAGAACATTATTATATTCTTTTCAAAGATTCTTGCAAATCATCAAAAATAATTGTATTTTAAAAAACGATCAAATTATCCTTTCATTATTTTAAACTTAAATTAGTTTTTATGATTGACTGAAGCAATCATATTTATTCATCTAAGGGTTTCGTTTTGCTAAAATTGTCACTTTTATAGCATATTTGTTTTTGGATGTTTTGCGAAACCAAAAAAAAAAAAAAACTATGATATACAATGTGTGTGTAAAGAAAATACTTTATTTACTAGTTAAAAAATCATTTGGTATTGATCAAGTTATTTTTTCTGGATAAGATATTATATGGATAATTGGATAGAAAATACAATTATATAATCTTGTACCTGGTTTAATTAAGCTAATTGTCATCAGAAACTTGTAATTTTTATGAATTCAGATTTTCTTTTCATTACTGCTTTCTTAATAGGTCAAGTTCTTATTTACGTTATAAGTATGATTATTTACAAATATCAAGTTATCATGTTTTTTGAGAAATTATGAGAAACAAACAAAAATGAAAAAGATAGGAATAGCATGAATAGTGATGTGGTATAATGTAAGAGATATGAATGCAAAGCAATCAGTATTTAGGACATTGACCATAGATTCGAAAAAAATGCTGCAATATTGAGCGAAAACTATGATTATATTATAAGGCTGTCATTTAAAGCATAATGAAACTATTCCCTTTTCATTTTAATCGAATAAGATAGTAAAGATTTTTGAATTAGCTAGAAACTGATGAGATGTTTTCACAAATCAGATTTTTAATCTCTATAATGCATAATTCACTCAATATCTCAATTTTGATATTGCGAATATTTTTGCTATCGTTTTCGCAATTTTGACACAATAGCAAGAGGGTTCTATAAGCATTATTATCAACGTAGAATCTGAATATCATATCAGAAATGTCGCAAATCTGACATTTACCCTACCAAATAGCAAAATAATTGAATACTTTTCGCAAAAACTTTAAAATCGATAAAAATATGAAATATAGATATTAAAGAGACTTTTTATTTATATATAATATTCATAAAGATTTTCCAAAATATGATACCGCAAAATTAAAAAAGTGACGTCTTGAGTGGAGTCAAAGGTCGAAATTGCTAGCTAAATGTTTTTTTAGCGAAATTGCGTATTGTACGTTTTTTCGCAAAACGAAACCCTTAATTCATCATTAAATAAACAAAAAAATAATATTTGAGAGTTATTTCAAAAAACACATTAAATTTATTAATTTGTCTCAATTTCAGTATTATAAATTTTTATATTTTCAATATTTTGAAATACACTTTTTAATATTTCAATATTTATGATATTTCAATGTATTAAGTTGTCTCAAATTGAGCTTCTCAAATATAAGTTGGCCTATTCAAATAATAAAATTAAATAATATTTAAAATAATAAATAAAAGTGATTGAGGTCATAGCAAAACGGCTGTTTCAGTCATTAATTCTTAAAAATAAAAAGGGTAAAAACTAAATAAAATGGGTCAAATTCAATAGTGTCTGTGCTATCGTTCAATTTGAAGGTGTCTTTTGAAACCGCAAGACACATTGAATTTTTGAATAGTGTATTATGGTTTGACAGACACCAATGAAAAAAATAAAATGATATTTATTTTAAATATATAAGATCCTTATATAAAATATAAATATTTTATCGTTTTATTTTCTTGTTTTAGAAATGTTTTTTATTGAAAAATCAATACAACTAACTCCAAACTAAAATTTTTGATTTAAAGACACTATGATGACACCAGGCAAATCTTCCAAGACACCTATCGTCGGGAATCTAACAACCCTATTCAAATTCATATATTTTTAATATAAGCGATATTATATCTAAAATTACTTTATTTGCACATAATATTATACTTTTATAGATAACCCTTTTTAAATTCTTTTTGCCTTCACCCATTTTTTTATTTTTTTCTTGAAACTCATTGAAAAATTTCAATTTGGGACAGTGGGAATCCCAAACAGCAAGCAGCCCTAGTGTAGAGATGCGAGTTTCCGAATTTTTTTAGCCCTGGGATGTCATAACCGCTGCGGTTTTGTAAAATTTGGGATAAATTTTGACAATCCATTTTTTGTGGGATGTACGTTTATATCAATTTGCTCGGCGTTTGCCGAGCTATTGTACAATCCTACTCGAATTCATTACGCAGCCCTGGTCACTCAAAGGCCAGGGCATACAATTACAAAATAGTAGAGTGAGACTCTTCTAATTTCTTCCAATCACAAGATCAGAAGATCTTAGAAGAGCCTCACTCTACTCGAACACATTACGCAGCCCTGGTCACTCAAAGGCCAGGGCATACAATTACAAAATAGTAGAGTGAGACTCTTCTAATTTCTTCCAATCACAAGGAAGATCTTAGAAGAGCCTCACTCTACTCGAACACATTACGCAGCTCCTGCTCAACAATGAGCAGGTCTTACCACTTTGAGAGGCTTTCGTTCGAGTTCTGATGCAGATCCCAACGCGAGCGAGAGTCTCTCAAGCAAGCTTCTAATTCGTAGCTAGAGTTTCACTCTTATGAACTGGCAGCCAATTTGAGAGACTTTCGCTCGAGATCTAATGAAAAATCAGAACTCGGCCAAAAATTGCCCAAACAGGCTTGTAATTCGTAGCTATAGTATTGATCGTATGGATGTGTTGCCAATATGAGAGACTTTCGCTCGATGTCTGATATTGCAGCAGACATCGAGCGAAAGTCACTCAAAACAGCTTAGACATGTCTATTTTGACGGCATTAAATGATTTCATAGGAAATGTCTCAGTTGTTAATTAAGTTCACGTGAGCTTTTATGAATGAAAATAAGTAAAAAAAAAGAATTTTCTCAAAAAAAATTGTGTACGCATTGAAATTTTTATCTATAAATTTAGATATGTCATCAATAATATAATATAATTTTAAATTCGTGGAGTACACTTGGGATAATTGAATATGGGCTACCCCATCCCAACCTCTCAAACTTCCTCTGAATTTGGACAAGGTATCCCAATCCCAAAGACCTATCTGAATAAAATGAAATAAGTATATTATATATATTATTTATTTGCTAATAATGAGCATAAATCGCTAAAATTATGAAGAAATTAAAAATTAAAAATTAAAATTAGAAAAAAATGTTGATTTAATGAGAGAATATTGTATAAAAATAGAATTATTAGCTAAAATACGTATTAATTTTATGATATTTCAATCACATTAACGAAAATCGCCCATTTTTAATTCAAATGGGCGGGAAAAAAAATAAAATTCCAAAAAAATTGAATTGGGGAAACGATAGGGGACGGGATATGAGAAACCCCATATGTTTGGGAATTTTTCGCATCACTACCTAGTGGATTGGGGAAATCCATACATCCTTACTTAAATATTTTCCTATTTTCAGCCAATTTTGTGGAAAATGCATCAGTAATTTGCATATATTTTTATGCTCAGTTTATTTTTGCCATTTTTGAATTTTTTAAATTTTTTACATATTTAGCCGATTTATTCCAATTATGAATCGACATAAACTAATTATTTTAAGTTCTAAAATAATATTAATGCTTAAATTTCATATATTACAATAATGAATAAAAATATTATATTTATCATCATGAAGTATGATTGAAATTAAACTATTTAGATTGTAATCCGAAGTTTATAATAATCTCACATATCTTGCATGTTTTAATAATACTTTCTCAATGAGCGACTAAATGATAAGTTAGTACCAATCAATTAGGCTTTCTGAGCAAAATATCTAAATTACATAAATGTGTGAACTAGTTCCTTGTATTAAGATAATTTATTCCTAATAATAAAAAAAAAAAATAAAATAATAATTTTATAAGACATACTAAATAGTTAAACGTTATGCATACCATGTTGCTATAAATCATTATTGTATTATTAATTTTGCTATTTTGAATAAGTCAGCAATTGAATATACGGGTAACTTTTTTTTGGCTGATAGTTTTTAAATAAATCTATTCAAAAGGTGATACTTACAATGAATCTATATGTTTTATAGCTATTACAAGGAAAACAACCAGTACAAAAAAAAGTTAATAATTTAGGATTTTAACATATACGTTTGAGTAATCTCCCATGTGAGTATCTTAATGCTATGGTGTTTCCGTAAAGATGAACGAATAATAACATATATGATAATAAATTTGATAAATCTTTTGTATAAAAGCGAAAACATCTATTATGTTACGATCGAAAACATAATTTATGAAGTGCTTTTTCGAATGACTTTACTTGTTTCTAAAATAATGTTCTGCTTGGCTATCATTAACCTATGATAAACATTTGAAATTTGAATTGCTATTCAAATTTCTTTTCAAAATTGTCAAAATAAGTTTTTGACTTCATTTTTTGACGTACATTGAATGAAAAATGATTTGTGCTTTAATTATATTCCCATCTAAATGTTAATTATATATTAATTTAACATGTCTTATATATCGGGGGAAAATATTTCAGAGAGATGAAGAAAAACTAAATTATCTAAATATTCGATGCAATATAACTATTTGCAAATTATCTAAAATTACAATTATTTTCCTTCATTACCAAATCTCATGATTTCATTTTTGAGTTTCTAAAATTTACTTTTTAGTTTAACCCTTGTAATCATGAGATTTTTTTATTACAAGTGAGAAAGTGGTAAGTGCACTCTTAAAGAATGACAATAAAAGAAATAGAGTAGTTAATTTCTTCGATTTATCTTTTTTATGAAATACATTTTCAATACAATTCATCTCATTTTGGAAACAAGCTATCAAGAAACATATTTAATTGGAAAGTATGTTTAATCGGAATATAATCTTGACACAAGAAATAAATCATATTTCAGTTATAAATTCACCGAAATCTTTTTCATTAGGGAATGTCGTATTGTCTGCAATATTTGCAATTGGCCTTGAATCATCATTTTGTATCACATTCTTTAGTAATGCTAACTCGCGTCTTTTTTTCCTTCCGAGATCAGGTAATCCATTTGCCGTACATTTTAATCTTACTTCATTTGGTGTACCAATGTTGAAAATGAAGGCTCTAATTTTAATCTGAGGTTTGGCCATTCCAAAATGACAAATATTTACTTTTCTTTTGAATTTCGGGAAATTGAAAAATTAAAAAAGTGACACTAATTAAAAATGAATTGATACATTCAATTTTTTATTATTTTTTTTGACTTCTGTATATTCTGACAAGTTGATCAAAACAAATAATCTAATAATAATTACAGCAAATAAATATGATACCATATCACATCTGCTAAGTCACAATATTAATAGGTGGAAACTTTAAAAAAATGAGTTTTTTTTAATTACAAATTTTTTAATATTGATTTCGAAAATGATTAATAATATTAAATTATTCACTAATTAATATTCCTTCTTTAAAATACTGAGAAAAATGCATATTACAAAAACAAAAAACATAATTTTAAAAATTATCAAATAATCTTAGTTATCGATAGAGTCTAATAAGCCGAGCAAGTACTGGGCACGCTCAGCAACAATTCCACTTTGTTGTTCTGTAATATCTTCTAATCTTTTCCTTAAATCTGATTCAGTAATCAAATTTACAAAGTCATCAGTCATTGATCCCATCTGGAGCTGGTGGACCATTCTTACTATGATATCAATGATTCTATTCATGATGATTGAAACGCCACAACCGAGCATTTCAACTAATATATCTAATATTGCTTCGTTTAAGAAGCTGTAAAGGACTTCTGGGTCTGAGAATAATGCATACGTTGAAAGGAAGAAGGCTGCTTCTTTCTTAACGACGAATGAAGCGCTTTCGGAGATTTCAACGACATGAGTAATAAAAGATGGGTCGAAGAACTGGAGAGCAGCTCCACCAAGGGTTTCGATCAAATTGGAGAAGATCCAAAATACATCCGGGCAAAATTCTGTGTCTAATAACTTCATTAACAAATCAAACAGTCCTCCTTCGAACATAGCCCTGACGTGGGAGGGTTGGCCTATGGAGAGGACACCAATGAGTTTGAGAGTAACGTCTGTAAGGTTTTCGTTCTGAATAAATTCGATAACTTTTGAATAAAGTCCGATTTGATCGTATTTCAGAACGAGCGTTGACATTTTGCATGCCATTTCCGTAAAAGTAGCGATAATAGAGTGAAGTGCTGTAAGATTTGTTAAATTTAATAAATCGGCAATTGGATTGACAGAATCGCTTAAAATTTGGAAGTCTATCTCGGCATTGTTAGCAAATATTTTTCGGATAGCTTCGCAAACATTAACTGTTAATTCGTCTGATTCTGATTGAAGTGCGATTTGGCAAAGACTTACGTGAAGTTCATTGCACAGAATAGCATCACGGGCATATGAACTTGTTTCGCTGATGCATCCGATGAATGTTACTGAAGCATTTATTAAATTTGGATTTTCAATAAATTCTGGAAGGGAAAAAACAATTCCTGTATCAATAAACGCTGTATCATTTGATCCTGATAATGGGAATAGATTCGAAATCGCTCCAAGTAATGAAACAATCGTGTTTTCTGAAACAGGATTTAATGCAGCGTTACCCATAGCTTCTGCAACTTCAGGACTGTGAGCAAGATACGCCAAATTGGATACACTTACTAATTCGGTATTGATGATATCTTGACAGAAGGACTGAATCGCCGATTCATCACCTGATTGAAGTGTTGTAACAGCATCATTAATAACATTTTGCTTATTGTCAGAAAGTGAAATGGGTTGTCTGCTTTTCTGCTGGAGATTGCCAAAGACGCTCTTTAAAGTCGGTCTATTCATTCTTCTGAGAGTTAAAGTTCTGGAGTTTCTTTCTCTGTTCAATTCTTCCTTATATTGAGAAAGATCTACGCCTGATAATTCTGTTGTGGAGATATCAGATCGAGAAGGACTTCTGTTCATCATCAATAAAAAAAATTTTTTTTATCGTTCGAACGATAAAAATACTTTTTTTATTTTTTGGAGAAATAATTTCATTGATTGCAATCATGCAAAAATACTAATGGAGAATGCATCCTTGTTTAAATACATGAAGAGATATTAGGTATTGAACTCTAAGATTATTTCAAGATTCATGCGATTAAATTTTGTGGGACATAATTTTCCGTTTTTCACGTGAATATATTTGTTTTCATTCAGTATAGACATACTATTTGTATACATGAGTCCATATGTGAACATATTACTATAGGAATTCCCCTCTTATGCTCTTTATATAGCGAGATAGAACAACTTAAACAATCCAATAAATTGAGAACTCTATCAAAATTGAGAACGCTAAAAAGATAATGTTTGACGTGATTGCTTGGGATACTTTGCACTCACATATATTAGAAACACATCCCAACACCCATCTATGCTTACAACTATGGGATTTTCGAATTTATTAAAATATTTAATTTGATTATGAAATAACCCGTATATATATTATAAACAAAGTGAACTATTTCCAAACTTTTTCTCTTTCATAGGTATCTCGATAAACACTCTCTAAATTCAATCCAATAGGACCGTTTTCATTTGTATTTCTATAAACTGGCTGCAAATATTATAAAACATCTATACATGGCAGACAAATACTATGTCAGCGGATTCGAAAATATTTTGATAATAAAATAATGAAGAGAAATCAAAAATTTTGGAATCTTCTTTTTTCATGGTCTGGGAAGACCATATTTTTAAAGCAATTTCCTATTTAATTTTTTTTAACTGAATTTTATAAGGAATTAATGATTTTATTTTTAAATAGAAATCAAATTGTTCATCCTAAACTTTTCATATATGATCAATTATTCCATAAAATTTTTGAAAGGGCAAATAATTTTATACGCAAATGTAAATCATTATCATACACGTTTGATGCCAATATTAAATTATTGAGATTTTTTTTGAGAACTATTCTCTATGATTTTTCTATTGTTATAAAATTTATAAAAAAGCAAATTGATATTTTTTTTAAATCCCCTCAAAAGTCCCAAATCTCAAATTACATTTTCCTTCGGTATATTTCTTATTAGAAATATTAGTACTAATCAAATTAATTTCTCATCGATACACGTTATTGAAAATTATAAATTCATAAAAGCAGAATTGATAATTCCAATGAGTACTTATCGTACAAATAAACATGCGCAAACATCACGAACTCCTTTTCTTACTGACATGGCATTTCCTACTGCCAGCAGAAAACAAAGTTCTACGAGCCGAGCTTCTTATATGATGCGTTGCAATGAAATGAGTTCAGTTATAGAAATATTTAACGAAATAATTACTAAATACCAAGAAGTTATGCAAAAAATGCCTCCAGATGTTTGCTCAAAAGAGTTTCCAAAATCATTTTCTGCTTTTAGGGAGTCATTTGAACAGTTCATAAGAACAATGCAATCGTATATTGGCTTACAAAAAGAGAAGGAAAATAATGAAACACCAACAAAAAATTCTAACTTAGTCGCCGTTATTGATGAAATTTCAATTTTGTCCGAAAAAGTATCGACATTCCTTGCAAGTGCAGAAGATTTAAGTGTTAATGGCATGGTTTCAATCAACAGTACCATTGAAAAATCATTTCAAACCATATTCTATATTTCAAACAGCATAACTGATGCTATTAAAGTACAAAAAATTGTCAATCAAGATTTAATATCAAAAGGACTAGAACTTTACCGCAATTCATACAAGGCATACAAAATGGCAAAAGATATCAAATCTAATTCCCCAAAAAAGGAATCTAAAGAATATAACATTTCCGATTTGAAAGAAATCATAAGCACAGTTAATTGCCAGGGATATCATTTATTGACAACAAGAATTCCTTCGGCTTTAAATAATCGTTCAACATTAATAGATTTAAGAAGTATGCTCAGTTCGAGCTGTGCATATATTAGTTCATTGACTGAACTTTCATTGATTTTTAATGAATCGATGAGCTTTTTAATAATGGATATCCTTGGACTTATTAGAACTTTTAACAATGCTATGATGGATCAAAATATTCCATGTAAATTAGATGTTCAAGGACTCACAGTATAATGTGAAGAAAATTATTTAGTTTTTTATTTATTTGTTTATAAAGTTTATTTTTATACGGAAATTTATTATTTTTACGAGTTTTGTTTTTAATATCTTAAGATAAAAGGAAGATTATAACTTTAAAAGATTATAAAATATGCAATTGAATAAATTTTATAGCTTTATTAAACTATATACATACTATTTATCAGTTACAATTCATTTGAAGTATTTTTCAAGAAGTTGTTTGTATTGTTCAACTTCCTGTTCAACATGTGGATCTTTGTGGACATCGAAGAAGTACATTCCTTCGAGGACGTCGAAACCAATGAATCTAAATGCTTTCTCGACTGTTGCCCAGTGTTTCTTCTTGCCGAGGTCTGCGTAGAACTGGCCTTCTTCTGTGAATGCAATCTCTGGTGCATTCCATGTTGATGAGACCATGAAACGCTTTCCTGATAAGCATCCACCTGTGCCATACTTCTTGGATGGATCCTTACGAGTGCGACCGTCACTATTGAAAAGGACGCCGCGACCTGATTGGAAAACTGTATCAATGTATTGCTTTACTTTCCATGGAAGACCCATCCACCAACCTGGGACTTGAAGAATGGCAACGTCGCACTTAACAATTTTATCAACTTCTTCTTTGATATCATATCCTTTGTCAACTGCTGTAGTGATAACATTCCATCCAAATGATTCGAGCTGATTCTTAGCAACTTCTGCCAAGTAGTGGTTTAAGTTTCCCTTTGACATTTCAAACTCACATCCTCCGTCGATGATGAGTACTGTACCCTTAGATGCCTGAGATGACATTGATAAAAATGATTCATCATTTCTATATTTTCAATTTTTAATTCAATAAAAAATTCGTTCAATTTTCTGATATTTACAATTGGTCAACCGAAAATTTATTGTATTAATAATTTAACATTATTGATAAACAATAATAATCCAAAATCTAATTTTGAATGATTAACCTCATTCAAAATTTTCTCTTGAGCAAGATGATGAAATTTGGTATAAAATACAATATAGTGATGGATCCTGGTGGAGAGAAAAGAAAATTTCGATTGGCCAATTGTAAATATCAGAAAATTGAATTAGTTATTGATTTGTAAAAAATTGATATATTTACAAGTCATTGATTTGCGATAATTGAAAGCAGAGAAATGATCTAATATCATTTGGTAAAAAAAATCAAATCACTTCTGCAAAACTGCATGTAAGTAATTGAATATTGCAATTAATTAATTAAATTAGCCGATTTTCTGTATATTTTAACTGAATATTTACCATTTGAATGCTATTTATGTATCTGATTGTCTGATAAAAATTTTAGCTTGATAATATCGAATCATATGATGCGTTGTATCAGCTGAAAACAGAAAAAGAAGAAGATTTAAACTCGATTTACAAAATGATCAAAACGAATTTGATTGATTCACAGAAGTGTCTTCCCCAAATTATAATAAAAGATATTTTGGATATTATTCCATATAATAATCGCTATACAAAGTCATATTTATCTCTTGCCAAACTCATATCAGATGATTATCAAGTCAAAGAGGTCAGCAAGGTTAATCTTGTTTCAAACTTTTTGTTTTACAAAGAATATGGCATTAAATTACACAAGTCTGCTGATTTCAAAATAATTAAATCAGAAAATCTCGACATTCTTAAAGAAAATACAATTTACAGAGCACTTATGAATAATGACTTAGAAGTATTCATTTCATTCACTGAAATAGAAGGATTTGATGGAAATCAAAAACTTGAAAGCAACTTATTTAGAGATTTTAGTAGTTTTTTCGTATTTCCTAGTGAAAATAAATTTTCATTACTTGAATTATGTTGTTACTACGGAGCAGTTGATTGTTTCAAGTTCTTAAGAACAGAATTTGACTCAGCGATAACAAAATTGTGTCTAGTATTTTCATTTTTGGGTAGAAATCAAGAGATAATGAGTGAATGTTTGAAACATCAAAAACCAGATCGAGATTGCATGAAATATGCAATTATTTCACATAACATTGATTTTGTAACATTCTTAGTGAATGAGTACGCCATAAGTATCGACTTATTTGCTTGCAGAAAATATAATAATCTTGATTCATTTTTAGTTTTTTTCGATCAAACTAATCTTTTAATCAACTGCTTGATTTATTCACCGATGTTTAATATTCCATCCCTATGCGAATATTTCCTTTCATTAGGTGCAGATATCAACAAAAAACTTTTAGATGAAAGAACCGCTCTTCAGATTGCAGCACATTATAATAGTAAAGAAGCAGCCGAATTTCTGATTTCACATGGTGTAGATATCAATGAAAAAGATACAGATGGCGTAGGGATGCGTTAAACACGCCATTTGACCGGGCGTACATTTTTTTTGTTCGCCCAAAAATTTCGCCATTTGAGAAATTCAAAAATTAAAAATAAAATTTTAATCTTGATTTTTTTATTTTCGTGATTTTTTTGAAACTTACATAAGCGATGAAATACTTTTTTTAAGTAATCGTTTATTATATATAAATATATCTTAATAAATTTAATTCCTTAAGGTAGAGCGTGTTCAAATTTAAAATCTCATACAATATTTTCTTAATGGCGTATTTTTCTGAGGTCGCCCAAATAAAGGCGAATTCAAAATTGAGAACTCCAAGGCGTATGGCGAGTATTCAAAATGTACGCCACTTACAAAATATTGAATGTGGATTATCAATTTTTTGGCGTGTTCAATTTCAAATTTTGATATTTATGTTTATTTTATTCAGTATAATGCTAAGAATTAAAATATAAAATTCATAGAATTTTTTCTTTGAAAATATTTTACATTTTTATTAGACCACTCCTAGACTAGTCATCAGGTTATCCTCAGATCATCCTCAGACTACTCCTTATCAGATTACTCATCATCCTCAGACTACTCCTTAGACCCCTCCTCATCAGACTACTCCTCAGATCTTCCTCATAAGACTCCTCCTCAGATTTTCCTCCTGAGACTACTCTTCAGACTACCCCTTAGAGTCCTCCTCATCAGACTAGTCCTGAGACTAGTCCTCAGACTACTCCTGAAACTACTCCTCAGATTATCCTCAAACTCCTCCTCAGATTATCCTCAGACTAGTCCTCAGACTACTCCTGAAACTACTCCTCAGATTATCCTCAGACTCCTCCTCAGATTATCCTCAAACTACTCCTCGGTCTAATCCTCAGACTCCTCCTCAGATTATCCTCAGATTATCACTTTATATATATATATCGATAACTAAATAATTACTTATTATACTTTCTTTATTTTTTTTTAATTTTAAAATAATATTAATATATATTTCTACGTTTAATGATGAAAAGAGAAAGAGGAGTAAAAAGAGGAAAGAGAAAAGAAAGAGAGAGAGAGAGAAAGGAAAAAAAGAGAAAGAAAGAAAAAAAAGGACGGCGATAATTTTGTATTGTTTTGTTATTCGGCCGAATGGCGGCTACTTCGTACCCGCCATTCGGCCCCAAAAATGGCGTATTATTCTATTTTTAAACGGTCATGGCGTAAAACCGTCGCATCCCTAGATGGCGAAGCCGCTCTTTATGTTGCAGCAATTTATAATAGTAAAGAAACAGCCGAACTTCTTATTTCACATGGCGCAGATATCAATGAAAAATATAAAGATGGATATACCGCTCTTTATGTTGCAGCAATTTATAATAGTAAAGAAACAGCCGAACTTCTTATTTCACATGGCGCAGATATCAATGAAAAATATAAAGATGGAGATACTGCTCTTTATGTTGCAGCAATTTATAATAGTAAAGAAACAGCCGAACTTCTTATTTCACATGGCGCAGATATCAATGAAAAATATAAAGATGGAGATACTGCTCTTTATGTTGCAGCAATTTATAATAGTAAAGAAACAGCCGAACTTCTTATTTCACATGGCACAGATATCAATGAAAAATATAAAGATGGAGATACTGCTCTTCATATAGCAATATCGCATGATAACAAAGAAACAGCCGAACTTCTTATTTCACATGGTGCAAATATCAATGAAAAAAATAAAAATGGAAAAACTGCTCTTCATACAGCAATATCGCATGATAACAAAGAAACAGCCGAACTTCTTATTTCACATGGTGCAAATATCAATGAAAAAAATAAAAATGGAAAAACTGCTCTTCATATAGCAATATCGCATGATAACAAAGAAACAGCCGAACTTCTTATTTCACATGGTGCAAATATCAATGAAAAAGATAAAGATGGAAAAACTGCTCTTCATTATGCAACATGGAATAATAATAAAGAAACAGTTGAACTTCTTCTTTCATATGGTGCAAATATCAACGAAAAAGATAAAGTTGGAAAAACTGCTCTTCATTATGCAACATGGAATAATAATAAAGAAACAGTTGAACTTCTTTCACATGGTGCAAAAAATAAATGTTCCAACATATAATGATAATTCATTTTTTTTCCCTTATATATAATATATGAGTTTATTTCTTAAATTTTAAAGTATTCGTTTCCTTAAAACTGGAGCTTACCGAGACCTTAAATTTGAAAATTAGATGCTATTATATTTCCCAATTTCGATATTTTATCGATAAAATAAAAATTTCAAAAATATTCTTATCGAAAAAAGGCTATTGATTTTTTTTTAAAAAATAGCATCATGCTTTTAAGAAATGAAAAATATTGATTTGATTCAGCTTCATCTTAATTAATAAGTGAAAATATGATAATATCGTTTCAAACTATAAAATAGCACTTCAAAGCTACGGTATCTGATATTGCATTAATTATTTTTGCTCAATATCACTTCGAATTATATCCTGGATTTGTCAAATAGTTGGAAAAAAATGAATTGGGTATAAAATGAGTGTAGTAGCAATTGATACTTTTTTATTTTTTATTTTTTTTATTTTTTTCAAAGTTTTTGATGTTGTGAGTTTTTGAGACAGAAAGAATTCAATTTCCATCGCAAATGATGCTTTTTTGTCGACCTTAATATCTTATGTAAGAACATTATTCTTTTGCACCATGTGATGTAAGAAGTCCAACGAATTCTTCACTTTTTTCCTTTCTGCAATAAAAAGTGCTGTTCTTCCCTTTACATCTTTTTCATTGATATTCGCACCATGTGAAATAAGAATTTCTGCAGTTTCTTTACTATCGCGTACTGTTGCAATATGAAGTGCCGTTCTTCCACATTTATCTTTTTCATTGATATTCGCACCATGTGAAATGAGAACTTCAGCAATTTCTTTACTATTTTCACGTGCTGCATAATGAAGAGCAATTACTCCATATTGATCTTTTTCATTGATATTAGCATCATTTGAAATGAGAACTTCTGCAGTTTCTGTACAATCATAAAGTGTTGCAATATGAAGTGCTGTTCTTTCGGCTTTATATTTTTCATTGATATTCGCACAATGTGAAAGGAAGTATTCCAAAAGAGATGGAATATTAAACATTACTGAGTAAAAACAACATTGGTTAATATCATTAGTTTGATCAAAATAAACTAAAAATGATTCGATGTTCTTATATTTTCCGCAATATTCTAAATTGATCTTTATATTGTATTCATTCATCAAGAATGTAACAAAATCAATGTTGTGTGAAATAATTGCATAAAACATGCATTCATCATTTGGTTTTTGATATTTCAAACATTCACTCATGATCTCTTTGTTTCTTCCTAAAAATGAAAATTCTAGACATGTTTCAGTTATTTCTGTGTTAAATTTTGTTCTTAATAATTTGAAACAATCAACTGCTCCATGGTAACAACATAATTCAAGCAATGATAATCCTTTATAATAAAATGGATATAAACTACTTTCAAGTCTTTGATCTTTATCAAATTCATCTCTTTCAGTGAATATGATAAGTCTTTCTTTGTCATTATTCATAATTGCCCTGTAAATTGTATTTTCTTCATGAATTTCGAGATTTTCTGATTTAAATTCTTCAAAATTGGCAGATTTGTCTAATTTAATTCCATATTCTTTATAAAACAGGAAGTTTGTAATAAGTGTGAGATCTTTGACCTCGCTAACATGATATTCATCAGATAAGAGTTTGGTAAGAAATAAATATGACTTTGCATAGCGATTATTATATAGAATGATATGTGAAATATCTTTTATAATAGTTTTGGGTGGATATTTCATGGAATCAATCAATTCTGTTTTGATCATTTTGTAAATTGACTTTAATTCTTCGATTTTTTCCGTTTTTAGCTGATACAATGTACGATATGCATCGATATAATATTTGTAGATACTTCGCAATTTGTTGAATTTGTTTGGATAAACGTTTTTGTCAGACATTAAAGATTTTTACAAATGGCATTTTTTTATAATTTACCACCTAAATTCATCAACATGGAATTCACCAGAGATTGCATTCACAGAAGAAGACCAGTTCTACGCAGACCTATGCAAGAAGAAGCACTAGTCAACAGTCGAGAAAGGAATGTAATTCTTTGATGTCCATAAAGATCCACATGTTGAACAAGATGTCGAACAATACAAACAACTTCTTGAAAAAATACTTTATTTGATAATTTCAACAGCAATTTAAAAGAAATGTTCTTCTAAGCATTACAAAATACCAAGATCATTAATGCAATAATAAACCATTACATATTATGTTAAATTTTATTAATAAACATAAATCTAGAAAAAATTATTCTTTTTTTCAAGATCAAATTGATTTATTCGACCTAATCTAGTACGTCAAATGCATAGTGTATCTCTAATAACTGCTCAATACCAATTTCTTCATATACAAAATCGTTCTGTTTTACCACAAATCTATTTTATATTTCATATCACTAGTCTCATTCAAAAAATGTCTGAAGAAGACTTCCCTTATGATAAAATCCTCGGTGTGAGGAAAACAGAGGGAAGAGCATCAGAATATTTAGTGAAATATAAAGGCCAATCGTATCAAAAGCTTGAATGGGTTCAAGATACGAAAATCCGCCGTTATAATGACGGTCAAAACTTCATTGCTAGAGCTAATCGTTCAGGAATCAAACAAGAACCACCATTTTATGATCCTGAATACGAAATTATTGACAAAATCGTATCAGAAAACGATAATAAATTCCTCGTTAAATGGAAAAAACTTGGATACGATCAATTAACATGGGAAACAACTGCTGATCAACTAGAAATCGCTCGTTATCGCCATATGTCTTTACAAACACTTCCAACGTTAGATGAAAGCATGCAAAGACCATTTGTTTTTCCAGATCAACCAACATGTCCATTATCATCAAATGAACTCATTTCATATAATTATTTGAAAAATCAAATTCTTACAGAAAATTTAATTACCATAACGGATAAATATTGTTTCCGATCAACTAAAGTAATTTCAGCAATAATTTCAGATTTACTACTCAATCCAGAAGAAAAAGGTCCTTTCTTGATTTTAACAGCATATGATGAAGTTGAAGACTTCAATATTGCCTTACACGAGTGCTCATTTAGAAACCACCCTGCATGCTATGTTGGTTCTAAAGATAGCAAAGCCAAAATGAACGAACTTGATATGGTTTTTGCTCCTCATGTACTGAAATACAATGTAATGATTACAACACCAGATATGTTTGTATCTGAACTTGACTATTTTAAGAACATTAGCTGGAGATTACTCATCGTAAACGATAATCAAACATTTAATACAATAAAAAGACGTCATTACAAAGAAATGGAAGCTTTAGAAGTTTACAAACGTGTCAAACTTGACTTCCAAAGCCTCTCTTCCTCATTAAATGGCTTACAACATATAGTTGACGATTTAATGGCAAAAGAATTCAAACCATTGCTTACTCCTGAGGAACATACAGCTACAGAAAATGTCAAGAAAGTCATAGATCCTATTATTCAAGGCCAACATAAGCGTGGAGCCACAAATTCCAAGAATTATACTGTTAATTGCCCAATAAATGAAATACAATGCCTCGCAATACAAAGAGCTATATATGAGAACCGTGATCATATCAAAGAAAACGATTTCTTCTACTTAGCCCAAAAGATTTTCCGTTGTATTCATCATCCATTGATTGCTTATGGAGATCTTGATGTTAAAAACATTGATTCGTCCACAAAGATGCAAGTTCTCATGGAAATGATCAAATACACGGTCGAAGAAGGAAAATCTTTAGTTGTTATTTCACAATTCATAACTTTCCTTGATATTCTTGAAGATATTCTTCGAACAAAGAATTTCATGTGGCGTAGATTCACTCGCGTTGATGCATCTGCTGAAAATGGCTCAGAAGTCTTCACAGAAGGAAAAATTTCAGTTTTTCTTTTTGATTCAAGACTTTCCAGCGAAATTGATTTGCCATTACATATCATAGACAAAGCAGTTTTAATTGATGAACCATTAACATGCTGGATGAACATATTAAGGACACATAGAGAAGGAAGAATTTCTGTTTCAAAAGTTTCAGAAATTTACAAACTTGAAGAAGTGAATTTAAACGAAGAAAAACTGTTTTCTATTTGTAATGACTCATCGAGTCCACAGTATGCAAATATAGAGTCTATATGCCGTAAAGCATCTATATCTGCATCTGTTCCTTCTCCTGTTCCTGATGAAATTTCTCTTTTAAACGCTGCAACATTAGATACAAGAAGAAGCAACAAAGGTGAAGACGGATTCGATATTCCTGACTTCTGGAATGTTTTCTTCGAAGTTGTCGAAGAGCCAAAGCTTCCTATATTGCAGACACGTCCTGAAGGATCGAAATGGACTGTTTTGGATCGAGAAAACTTAGTCAGATGGATACAAAGAGTTGGATTAAACAGAACTAATGATTTAATCAAACTTTCGAGATTGAATTTCTCTCCTGATGAAGTCACATTGGCTGTTAAGTCATTGATAAGAGAAGTACTAAGATTAACACAATCATTGGCTGCATTTCCTGTTGCAAGGTCTGTTTTGAGCCAAGATACAGATGAAGACATTGAAAAACAAACAAAATTTATTAACGAAAAACCGTTTTCTGACCTCACTTTTGTAGAAATGCTTCGATTAGACGCAACACAGTTTTTAAGGCGTCTTGAGAACCTGTTTTATATCTATTCTTTGTTTGAGAAAAATCCCGATTCGTGGACAAATATTCCTCCATTAAAATTGGCCGGTGCTTTACCAGCACAAATCTGGAATGATGATAGAGATAAATGTTTGTTATATGTAAACTACAAATACGGATTTGGAGTTTACGATCATGTCGCTGATTCCGATATCCAATTGATCCCAATTCTTGGAGAATACCAACAAAACATTGAACACATTAAACTCGATGAAAGAGCATTGAGATTGGCTGATTCCGCCAAAAGATTGCAACTTTCTGATGACAAAGTTATTGAATCATTGAGTCAGTTGACTTACGAGAACTGGACAAATGAAGAAATGTCTAAAGTCATTGCTTTCTTGTTGAAATTCGGTTTGGTTAATAAAGATGGAACGAAAAATTACGACCAAATCAAGGAATCGTTGAATTTGCAGAAAACAACAAAAGAAATACAAGAATACATTGATTTCTTACTTCTTGCATGCGAAAATCCACAATCTATTTCTAGTAACATGATATATAACACTGGACAAAAAGTTTTGCAAAGAATTAATGCAATGGAAAAGTTATTAACTCTTTTATCAAGTTTAGACGAAAATACTGAAATTCCATTCTTCGAATCAGCTCCTAAATGGAGAAATGCTCCTCCGCAATGGACAAGTGAACTTGAATACAAGTTCTTTGTTGAAGTTGCAAAATGTGGTTTTGGTGAATTGAATTTAATATTTTCACAAGAACCATTTATCAAAGTTTTCGAGAATGGACCTCCTGCTTTCATGCTAAACGACCATGCCGTTGCGAAAAGAGTTGAAGCATTGCATCAATTCAAGAATTCAGGATCAAAAGTCGTTGTTGAGAAGAAGAAGAAATCAGAGAAACATAAAAGAAGTGAAAGTGCTTTATGTCCAAAACCTGTAACAGTTGCAGGACTTGCCGAACTTGAAGATGGAGAAATAGAATATCCAATCATGATCACGCCTTCCTCCTTCATTCTCAACATTGGTAGAGTTGTCTATGATAGACCTGGATGGCACACTTCGAGATATATTTATCCGGCTGGTTATAAATCAATGAAACTCTTTGCTTCTGTTAAAAACCCCGAAGAAAGAGTTAATTGGATCAGTGAAATCTGTGGTACAGGTAAGAAAACACCTGTTTTCAAAGTGTACATGGAAGATGATCCAAAAGTTTGTTTCACGGCTGAATCTCCTTCTGCTCCTTGGGTTAATGTTTTAAAGGCTGTTTCTGAAGCTAAAAAAGAAAAGTCTAAAAGTAATTCAATTTCTGGTCCAGATGCTTTTCTTTTAACAGCGCCCGTTGTAACTTATTTGATACAGAATTTACCTAATGCACATAAATGCATGCAATACAACTTCAAAGAGATCAAAGGAGCTCCTGCAAAACCACCAAGAATTGCTAAACATGAAGATGAAACAGAAATTAATGATCAAAATACAGAAACAACATCAACAGAACAACAAACAAATGAAAATAATGAAACTATAACAGATGTAAGTAAATCACCAAAGAGAAGATCAAGAAGAAATGATGATGATACAGAATTAGAACCAAATGAAGTAATCGGAATTGCAGCTTCTATTCCAAGAAGAGTTCATAAACAGGTCCGAAGATCAAGTTCTAGTGAGTCAGAGATTGATTCTGATTCAGATAGAAGTGATAGAAACGATGAAGCGGATGAGGATGATGATAGAGATGCCATAATATCTGATATGGATGACTCTGATGATTATGAATAAATATGATATTTTTTTTATAATAAAGTCATTTTGATTATTTAAGTCTCCATATTTTACTCTAAGGGTGCACTTACCACTTTCTGACACACTCTCATAGATTGTTTGAAGATCTGATATAATACTATGACTTGATATTGCATAATCATATAAAATAATAAAAAGAAAATGAAAAAAAAATCTGTTAATTAATTAATTAATTATGCGGTGAAATCTATATCACAAATCGGAGATGTCAAAATATTTGAGAGAATGTCAGAAAGTGGTAAGTTCACCCTTAAGTTTTTTGCTAGAAATTTGAGAGAAACTCAATGAAAAATTTGAAAAGCAGTCAAAATTTGTAAACATAGGCTAAAAGTTTAGAAAAATTATGATCATTATCAAGATGGTTATGAAAAATGTGTTATTTTAAAGAATTATCAAAAATTTGTGAAAATTATTTAATTTACTTTTTAATTTTCTAAATTATTCCATTTTTATGGAGCCATTTTTCAACATCAGTACGACAATTTCGGCATCTGGTATTTCTAATCGCTAATCCATCTTTAACTATTGCTTTTGGACAAAGTTTCTTAATTTCATTAACAATACTGCCTAAGCCACTTCCCATATGTGTATCAAATGGCAATATTGTCTTATTCTCAAATTTATACTTCTCCAAAAATGTGAAAGTTGCATTCGGAAAAAGCTCACCCCAACAAGGATTTCCTAAAATGATGACATCGTAATCATCTGGATTTGTAAGCTCATCCAAAAGATCTGGACGTGCATTTTGATCTCGTTCTCTTTTGAAAGCTTCAACTAAATCATTATAAGAGTCTATATTACTCGTCCTAGATCTAATCTCAAAAATATCTCCACCTATAACCTTATGGATGATATCTGCAACAGATTTTGTTGTACCAGTTTGTGAATAGTAAGCAATTAGAATCCTCTGAGAAGAGCTCATTTATTAAATGAAATGACAAAATTCTATATTTATTTAAATATCCGTTTTCATTGAAAAATTGAATAGATTTCAGTCTTTACACGGATATATTTACAGAAATTAGGATATGAATTCACATCATTATCGTTAAAATTTTAGAGATATAAACTCTCACAATCTTCATAAAATATAAATTTATGGATAATATATAATCAAAACATCATTTATTCAAAGATTCCGATAATGAGTTTACTTTCATTATTGTTTCAGGCAATACAATCCAGGTTTTTAATCATATAAATATTATCTAAGATAAAACAATGAATGAATTTTATGAAATATCAAAAATAAAAATAAATTATATTATTCCATTCTTATGCAACCACTTTTGAACATCATCATGACATGTTGTGCATCTTGTGTATCTAACTGACAGTCCATCTGTAACAATTCAAAGTTTTTTATAAATTTCATTATGAAATCCTTAATACTTGATGAATATCTTTGTAATAGTAAAATAATGAGGAGTAAACACTTTAAATAAGTCAACATCCAAAATTCAAAATTCAATTTTGAAATTAGCTATTTTAATGCATTTTTTATAATGCATTCTCACATGTAGATGATTTAAATGCAAAAATCCATGGAAAACAAAACATAAAATGTGGGTGACAAAACAAAGTGGATTTCGCCACATTTTAACAGATCAATTTGTATCATTCAGAGCTGCAAATTCTGCATCTCGTGGCCCCAGGCCTACAAATTGCCAGGAAAATAACTATTTAATACAAACTTCAGAAGATCTTTCAACAAAATTTTCATTTCTTAATAAAAAAATCGAAGAATTAGAACAACTATTTATTAAGAGATCGAAACCAACATTTGATACTAATTCAATTGAATTAATCGATCACGATATTCGATTATTAACTAGCGATATCTCTTCCAGAATATCAGTATTAAGAAATGGTATCAAAAAACCGATCAAAACAACAGATAATGATGAAGCAGCTATTCTTTTGAACTTACAACAAAGCCAATGCGCGAGATTAGCACAAGTTGTATCAAAATTCAGAAATCTACAAGCAAATCGCAAAGGAGAAGCTCATATTGAAAACGATGTTGATGATCCAATCTCTGCAATGTATGCTGATTTTGAACCTCAATTAACTCCTGACCAAATGACTTTACTACATAGAAATGAGGAAGAATTGAGAAACCAAAACGATGAGCTTGCTAGAATGGTCACAATGATGAACGATCTCAATGAAATGTTTAAAGATCTTTCTCTCTTGATTTTTGAGCAAGGAACGCTACTCGATAGAATTGACACAAAGATAGAGGTTGCTATTCAACAGGTTGAGAAGGGAAATCAGCAACTTACAGACGCCAATAATTATCAAAAATCGAAATGCATTTACATCTATATAGCTACTGTTTGTGCATTGATTATCATCTGCTTGTTTGTAATTATTTTAAAGAAATAAAAAAATTGATAAAAAAATATAATTTTTTTAAGTAAAAACGTGACTATAAATGACATATTTCACGTGGAAATGAATGATATTTTGTTAATTTTACAATACTCAGACTTTATTATTTAAATACAAAATTTACTGATAAATTATTTGTTAAAAGCCAATAAAAATCAGTAACTAGACATTCAAGAAAATTCTCCATGTTGCCTTTCTATTCTTTTCTCATAAATTTAAATATTCTCCTCATGGCATTAATTTAATCAAAATGCATAAAAGCGCCTTAATTTTTAAAGGAAAAAGATTATTTAAATTGAACAAAAAAAGAAATAAATACAAGAAAATTTATTATTATAATCTAAAGTAGTGCTGTACCTTGTAGAAGCTGAGCACGGCTATCAGAAGTGATGAGAGAAGACAAGCTTTCATGTTTTCTCTTGATTTGGTAGTCAGACCAAAGCTGTTCATCGAATTTATTCACTTGATTAATTGCATCAATATCTTCTGGATCAATTGGCGTTTCTTTGACAAGTTCACGCTTCTTTTTGATTAATTTGGCCGCTGCTTTGAGTTGTCCAGAGCGATGAGCAAGATCTTTGGTTTTAGAGTGGAATTTTTGAATAGTTTCGTGATGGTTATCAACTCTATTCCTAATAGTTTCATTAAACTCTTCTTTTTCTTTGTTACGACGGTTGGTAACTGTATTTTCGAATTTAGTTTGATTATATTCACGAGATTCAACTAAATCATCGATGAGCACTTGGATACCAGGTTGGCCAATATGGCGTGCTGGATAAATGAATGGTCTGTTGCTGAAATGATGATTAAATGGTGGTAAAACGCGTTTTGGTTCCTCTGGGCTGTCCAAAAGCTGCCAATGACAACCCCCACGAGGAATATGAATTGTTGAGTGATGTAAATGCTCAATATCTTCTTCCTTTGGATTGCAGGCAGGACAATACTGAATAATATTCCTGTTTGGTCTGAAAGATGTTGATGGGCGCTGTGGAGAATTTTTTGTAAATCTGTCATCGAAATTGTTGAGCATATCTAAATCAACACCTTCTGGCATTGGTAGATTAGGTTTTTTCAGGGATTGATTTTTCCCTGCTTTTTTATTTTGGAACTTTTCAACTTCATATATGGCATCACTTTCTTCTTTTTGAGCCATATAATCATCGGCAATTTTTTGCAAAGATCTAATTTCGTAACTAGACTTTGGTCTTGTTGTAGCAGATAGGGTAGTAAGTCCCATATTGGAAAATCCATCATCTCTCCTATACGATCTTCGGCTGTGGACCGTGACTGTCCTAATGTCTCCGGCCTGTGCAGTCATTTTGTGAATTTTACAAAAATATACGTTGCCTAAATTTTTTCTGCTTTAAGCATTGAGTATTGCATTACCTATACAAATCATTATTCTTTAGTTTGTGCTCAATGAGATTTGACGACAATTGTCAATTCTTCGAAATTTTCAATAAATTTTAAGGATGAATTATTAAAGACATCAAAGGCAGACAGGAAAGAAATGCTACGATATAAATGAATGCTACAATTTATAATATTCCGGCAATGCTTATCAAATCTCCAGTGGGAATGTAGAGGTAAGAGCTATATGGAACCACTATACAACCATCATTATTTCATTCTCACTATATAACACACAAACTTTTGGTTCAATAACACAAATATAAAAATGGATATGAGACTGGAGAGCAATTACTTGAATCTCATATCTCAAAATATAAATTAATAAGTCTCCTCACACTTTCAAGCTCGATTTTTTAAAAAATAGTGTGCGGTAATTAAAAAATTTTGAAACTTTATATCTAAGCCAAAAAGTGATATTTGCCTCTTTGATGTACAAAATATTATACATACATTTAGAAATTAAAAGTCAAATTGCTTGATTCAGAATGTTTTTGACAATCTTTTCAAGGAAATCTATTTTATTAGTTAGATCCTGGGCTACATTAATTATCTTCTGGAAATCAGCTTTTGGAATTGATATCATTGAAATTGGGGAAGGCTGTGGTGGTGTTGGTTGAATGAAGCCTGTTCTTTCGAGAAATTCTTTTAGTTCTGGAGTTTCATTCTTGAAAAATGCGTTCATCTTCTTGTAGATTGCCTTCGTTTTCGCTATGCCCGAAAGAGAATTAATTTCTGCATCATGATCTCTAATATAACTTTGGTACTCATTTTTTGCTTCTCCTAGCGTCACTTTATCAAGACCATAGGGATTGTCATTTATATTCTCTTCAGATTTTGAATTCTTTGTTTGTGTTACGGCTTGAAGATAGCCGCCATTTTCGAGGAATTTCCTAAGTTGTGGTGATTCCTTCTTGAAAAATTCGTTTGTTTTGTTGAAGATCGTTGTTGCTTTATCATCATTGTCTCTAAGATGACATCGATAATCATCTTTTGCTTTATTGATTATCTCGTTATCAAGGTTGTAAATGTTGGTTGCCATACCAAGTAAAAATGATTTTTAGTCAAGTTTTTTTTTTCTCACTTCAAAATTATTGGAATCGAATTTTACAAATTTTGACTATTATAGTTCACCTTGATATTTTGTTCATCAACTGATTTCTAGTCAAAAAAAAATTAGGATTCCTGCTTCTCATGGGGTCAATATTGTGCTTAAGCAAATGAATTTAGGAATGCAATTTATCAAAGAGTCAGAAGTCCACATTGCTATATGCCATATGGTAAAGGCGAGACACACTTAATTCATAATAATTATACGCCAATTTTAAATGTAGAAAGCTAATAGACAACTTTTTTAAATAAATACTTATTATGATATAGGTTTCAATAATATTTCCGTAATATACTTATTTGTTACTACATACATGACCATGAAAATTAGCATGTAAAATTTGAATCAGAAATAATCGTTAACGATTTTATATCTTTGACTTTTTGATAAATAATGGTCAACTACATGTTCACATCTAGATTCAAAGAGTGAAATTATGTCAGAAATGTTGTAAACAGAAATTCATCAAAAGTGACACCTCAGAAAAGCTAAAATATTGAATTTTTGGAACTGTTGATAGAGCACGTTTTTAAATATTAATTAAAGTAAATGTATATTTTGTAAAGATTCTTTTTAATAAAAAAATAAAATTTTGAAGAAGAACACAAAATCTTCTGAAAAATAATATCACATAAACTCATATTATTTTCTAATATATAACTATTTTATATAAAAATCAAATTCAATGATCTTAAAAGCGAAGGATAAACCTCAAAATTTACGAATATAATGAGTGGGAATATAATGCTTATTTATCATAAAACCATATGAAATATTAATTTTTGCTTTACGCCTAATTTTTGACGACAATTAGCAAAAAAATGTTAAATGTTAACACTCAGTCCATTTGAATATAAAAATAAAATTGACTTTGATTAAATGTTTTTATTTATCATGCAATTCTTCTTGCTAATTGTCGTCAAAATTAGGCGTAAAGCAAAAATTAATATTTCATATGGTTTTTATGATAAATAAGCATTATATTCCCACTCATTATATTCGTAAATTTTGAGGTTTATCCTTCGCTTTTAAGATCATTGAATTTGATTTTTATATAAAATAGTTATATATTAGAAAATAATATGAGTTTATGTGATATTATTTTTCAGAAGATTTCATTCTATATGCCTATGAAAAGTACTCTCAAAACTAACTTTTTCCTAATTATAATTAAATCTAGAATATTGTATTATGCTTAGTATTATTTCATTTTTCTCATTCAATTTAGAATTTACAAATGTCAAAAAATTGAGAGCTGTCACTTTTGATGAATTTCTGTTTACAACAGAAATAGTTTTTCAACAAGGAAGCACAGAACATTCATTCATTGTAAGTGGATCTGGGACCCTTCCTATCTTGAATCAGAACACAGATGCAACTGAGTTATTTATTAGGGGATTTAATTCAACTTCTGATCAGAGTTTTCTGAATTATCATCAATTAATTAATATTGTTTTCGATGAAAACTTGATTACTTTAAATGATGGCTTATTATTGGGTACTAAAGTAGATACTTTTACAATTCCAAAAAATGCAAAGAATCTTATAGCAAATCCTTTTGATAACGGTATTTATATGAAAAATATATTTGTTGACCACGAAAATCAATTTTATTGTGATATAGACGGCGTTTTATATACCAAAGATAAGAAAACACTTGTTTTTTGGCCCGGAAATCATGGTGAAACTGAAGTTATCGTCCCAAAATTTGTTGAGAAACTATCAAGCGGTGCTTTTTCAGCAAGCGACACAATTAAATTTATACTAATCCCTCAGAAAGTTAAGAAAATCGGATTTCAACTATATAAAATGACTGCGATAAAAAAAAGTTCTTGTTTTGAACAAGAATCTTTCTTCTCTTGAGTTCACTATTTCTCAAGGTTTATCAAACTCTATTGTTCAATTTTATCCTCTAACTGAATGTTCACTATGTAAGGATCGGAAATCATATTATAATAATCATCTCTTATATATTATCATAATAATTTCGTGAAACATTAGAAAGTAATTTGAGAATTTTTGTTCCCTTATCGATACTAGAAATTAAATTTGTGCATATATTAGATGAGAACTTTCTTGAAATATTATAATTGATAAATATCTATTTATCTTTATTACGGTGTGTCTTATGGAGTATAGAAATGGTTAAATATCCTGAGATCTTTCTAATTAAACTATAGTTTTTTTCTAAGAGAAAAATACCTCCAAGAATTTCGATTTTTTTATTCAAAATTTGGCATAGATGAAGGCACTGACTTCTTGAAGTTCCTTGTTTGCCATTTAAGCATATGAATCAGTATCCAAAAAGGAACTTATTTATATGTTTATTCAAAAGACATTAGGATGTAATTTAAATAATTTCTAAAAAACTCAAAAGGTCAATTATAGGGTATGTTTTATGAACATATTGATCAATAAACTGATGATTATGGTTCAAAATATTGCTATTTCAGTGACTTGATGCATATTTAATTATTGTTCAAATCAAGTCCTATTAAATATGTTTCAATTTAGTAAGAATTGAAGAAATAGTATCACAGATGAATGAGAAATAAGATTTATATTGCTGCATAAATTATATTTATATTGAATATTGCAATCTTCGTTAAAATTCAAGTAATGGGTTCCAGAGAATTGAACAGAAGGTTGTTGTGGTTGAAATGAGTTTTCTGAAAACGAACAAAATTGAATATTAACTGGTAGATACGAAAATGAATTGGCAATATTTTTATAAAATACGCAAGATGTAAAAAGTATATTAGAATCACACCCACTAATAAAGTAATAGCTTTGGCACGAGTTATTCACAAAATTTAAATTTGTAATTTTTGAGTCTGTAACAATACTCACAACCCCACTTCCGGAATACTTGTTTTCTAAGCAATTAGAGTATGAGATATTAGATATTACTGCACCTTTGTAGATGTAAAAAAATGGAGTTTGATAAGCAAAGTTTGTTGAACAGTTAATATATTTTATATCGATATTTCCATTTATGTGGTGCATAACATCTGGTTTTGTCGATTGTCGATGACAATTGAAAATTGAAATTATTTCGGCTGAATTAGATGAATTTTGTGTGGGTTCGATAGTAACATAACAGTAATGAGCTTTAGTATTTGAACAGCAATCAGTACAACAAATAGATTTTTGTTTGCATGAATGAACAGGATCAAGATAGAAGCATGATCCTTGATTAGTTGCTGAAATGGTGTCGAATATTGAATATTCAATGAAAACATTTGTTGTTGATTTAGAAAAGTAAACAGGAGATTCACCTTCGAGGTTAGAAAATAAGTTATTGTTAACAAGATAATTGTTTACCTGTTGACCAACAACATTTGCAGATGTTAGTCTCCAAAAACTATTCCCTTTGAATATCTCCTCAAACTCATTGCTCAAATATTTTGTTCTGAATTTTTTGAGATTCATTCAAAAAAATTCAGAGGTATAACATTTTTTGAAAGTGTCACTTTTATCCGATTATCAAAAAAATTTTATGACTGTTACAACAAGACCAGCATATATGCTTAACAAAAGAGATAGGATATTTACCAACATAAATGGTGTTGATGAAAGTGATCTCCAATCATGTATGAAAAGAGGTGATTGGAATGATACTCAAAAAATTATTGCAAACGGAAAGAAGTATATACTTGATGAGGTCAGAAAATCCGAATTACGTGGAAGGAGTGGTGCCGGATTGCTTACTTACAAAAAATGGGAAGAAATTTTAACTTCCAAACAGCTTCCTCATTACTTATGCATAAATGGTAATGAAAGTGAGCCTGGTACATGTAAGGATCGCCAAATATTACAAAATGAACCACAAAAAATCATCGAAGGCGCATTTCTTGCTTCATACGCTTTAGATGTTCATAGATGCTATGTATATGTTCGTGGACATTACACAAAAGAAGCCAAGAGATTACAATTAGCCATTGATGAAGCTAAAAAAGCCAACTTAATCGGCAAAAATAATAAATTTGGTTGGGACTTCGAGATAAACGTCCATCCAGGTGCAGGTGCATATGTATGTGGTGAACAGACAGGTTTAATGACCTCTCTTGAAGGAAATCCAGGCACTCCGCGCCAAAAACCACCACAACCATTTGAAAAAGGACTTTTCCAATGTCCGACTGTTGTTGATAACGTCGAAACCATTTCCACAATATCCTCTATCTGTAGAAGAGGCGGAAAGTGGTTCTCTTCTCTCGGAATTCCTGGTTCTCGTGGTCCAAAAATTTACCAAATATCAGGACACGTAAACAGGCCATGTATTGTCGAAGAAACTCTTGGAATGTCACTGAAAGAATTGATAGATGTCCATGGATCTGGTGTACGAGGTGGCTGGGATAATTTACAATGCATTATTCCAGGAGGAACATCATGTCCGCCAATAACAAAGGAACAAGCGAAAAATGCTATTCTTGGCTTCGATGAAATGAGTAAAATCGGTTCTGGATTAGGCACTGGTTCTTTAGTTGTTATTGATAATACGGCAGATATTGTAGAAGTATACAGACGCATTGCCAATTTCTACAAAGATGAATGCTGTGGGCAATGCAAACAATGTGTTGAAGGAACAGAAACAATGGCTGAGATATTTGATAAAATTGCAAGAGGAAAAGGTACAAAGGATGATGTTAAACATCTTGAGGAAGTTGCTTTTGGAATGAAGAAGTATATTTGTTCATTTTCTGTTGGTGCTTCTGATCCAATTCGTGGATTCCTCAAGGTTTTCAAGAACAAGCTTCTTGAAAGATGCATTCACTAAATATTTCGACTAAAAAAATATAGATTTGTCTTGTTTTATAAAATGATTAAGCATCATAAATATAATGATTGTTTTTGAGAGAGTAAAGAAATTTCAGCTGCAAGTTGATTGTTTTTAGAAATAAGGGAGAATAATAAATGAGAATGTTTTACTGTCATCTGGAAAAGTGACAAAATTATCATTGTCGTCTAAAAAAAGAGATTTTACAAGCATATTTTGGTACCTGAATAAAGGAGAACATCAATGCCATCTATGTATATTATATGCAAACAAGCATTGTATATAGAGTGACTCTTTATCTGGCAGATAATTCGAAAATTCGCATTGTCGTCTAAAACTGCTAGATGATAATAGTAATACATCATGATAAATTAATGTTCAGGTAGAATCATCCGAATGTTCTAAAGATGGTGTTGCAATTATGAATATTGTAAAAGAAAGTGGCAACAAAAGCTAAATACTTTACAGAAATTTGATTTCTTTAATATTAAGGGTGCACACGAGAGGATCATGTAAACTTCAGAATTTAGAATCTTATTTTTAGGCATTATCTTGGCTACCTATTTAGGCTCGAAAAGCAAAAAATATCAAAAAATACAACTTGACTCCATTATGACCCTTTCATGGAGGTAGTTTTTATCCGCTAGTATTTTCCCTTTGAATCTCTTTACAATTCGAAATCAAATTCAAACCTCAGTAGAAGAAAGGAAGAATCGACTTACTACGGTTGTAATACGAATAAATACATATATTTAATTATTTTTATTTACATAATAATTGTTTGAAGCTCATATTCCAACAAATTTTTAAATAAAAACATTAAAATGTTGAAAATGTTCATATATTTTAATAGGGTTTTGGCACTTTATTGAGGAATTACTACATACATAGTCGAACTGAACTTGGTATTTTGAAATTTAAATTATTTATCAAAATTAAAATTTAACTTGAAATTTATAATTATTTAGTCATATTTTGCATAATTCTAAGTAGATTTTGTAAAAAATCAAGAAAGAAAAATTTTAACGTGCTTTATTTTTTCTTTTTTATAATAATACATATTATTATATAATTAACATATTCATAATGTTTCACCCTTTCAAAAATATAATCCTCCTCCTCTCAAATAAACGTACATACGGGTGGCCTCTTTTTTCAAAAAATTAAAATTTGAAATTTTTGGCTCAAATATTAGAGATTTTTTCAACCTTCAACGATATATGTTGTCTATATCAGACCTCCTTTCTTTTTGATACTTAACATTGTTCCTAAATCTTAGCCGTTAAGGCTGTTCTGAAAATATTTTTTTTCGAAAAAATTCGAAAAAAATTCTTAAAATTCAAAAATCCCTTAATTCCTGAGGATTTTGGAAAAAAGTTTTTACATGAACATGTGTATATTATATGAAGTATATTGATAAGGTAAAAATCAAATTTTATTGCATATTCATCGAGAAAATAAACTAACGAATCCCTCAAAATTGGGAGGGTAATCCTCCTCCTCTCAAATAAACGTACATACGGGTGCACCCTTAAAATTGAATATCCTTTTTAAATTGTTAAAGATGCTAATTGCTAAAAATATTTTTTATGTAAGAATTATTAAATTTTGGCACCATGTGAAATAAGAAGTTCAGTTGTTTCTTTACAATTATTTTGTGTTGCAATATGAAGAGCAGTTTTACAATCTTCATCTTTATCATCAATATTTATACCGTGTGAAATAAGAAGTTCAGCTATTTCTTTACTATTATTTTTTGCTGCTTTATGAAGAGCAGTTTGTTCTCTATTATCTTTTTCATTGACATTTGCACCACATGAAAGAAGAAGGTCAGCGAATTCTTTATATTTATCCCATGCTATTTTATGAAGAGTGGTTTCTCCATGTTTATCTTTTTCATTGACATTTGCACCATATGAAAGAAGAAGTTGGACTGTTTCATTGCATGCATTCTGTGTTATTTTATGAAGAGCAGTATTTCCATATTTATCTTTTTCATTGACATTTGCACCACATGAAAGAAGAAGTTCAACTATTTCTTTACAATTAAAATTTACTGCAGTATGAAGAGCAGTTTCTCCATCTACATTTTTTTCATTGACATTTACACCATGTGAAATAAGAAGTTCAGCGATTTCTTTATTATTATTAGAAGCGGCAATCTGAAGAGTGGTTTCTCCACTTTCATTTTTTTCATTAATATTTGCACCATGTGAAATAAACAATTGGACTATTTCTTTACTATTTTCTGAAACAGCATATTGAAGAGTGGCTTGACCATATATATCTTTTCCATTGACATCTGCACCATGTGAAAGGAAGTATTCGCAAAGAGATTCAATTTTAAATATCGTTGAATAAACAAAACAATTGTTAACATCGTCAGTTTGATCAAAATAAACCAAAAATGAATCAAGATTTTTATAATTTGTGCAATCATATAAATCGATCTCTATATTGTATTCATTCATCAAGAATGTAACAAAATCAATGTTGTGTGAAATAATTGCAAATTCCATACATCCTTTATCTGGTTCTTGATATTTCAAACATTCACTCATGATGTCTGGATTTCCTCCTAAAAATGAAAATTTTAGACATTCCTTATTTATTGCTGAATTAAATTTCGTTCTTAAAAACTTGAAACAATCAACTGCTCCATAGTAACAACATAATTCAATTAATGAATATCGATAGCAAGGATATGGATATAAATAGCTTTTAAGTCTTTGATCTTTATCAAATCCACATCTTTCAGTGAATATGATAAATCTTTCTTTGTCATTATTCATAATTGCCCTGTAAACTGTATTTTCTTTATAAATTTCAAGATTTTCTGATTCATATACTCCAAAATTTTTAGATCTACCTAATTTAATACCATATTCTTTATAAAACAGGAAATCGCATAAGGGTGGCAGACTTTCGACGTTTTTTATATGATAATCATCAGATATGAGTTTCGCAAGTGATAAATATGACTTTATATAGCGATTATTATACAGAATGATATCTAAAATATCTTTTATAACATTTTGCGGAGGATATTTCTTTGAATCAATCAATTCCGTTTTGATCATTTTGTAAATTGATTTCAATTCTTCTTCATTTTCCGTTTTTAGCCGATATAACGCAATATATGAATTAATGTAGTATTTATACATATCTCGCAATTCAATGTATCTTGATCAGACATTCAAAATTTTAGATTATAAATTTTCATTTTACTATATAATAAGATAGCCTGAAACAAGTATTAACTCAATTATTAGTTAAACAAATGTTGAAATCTCAATACCCTTCAATTCAAATTTTTTTGGGTCCCATTTTTTAATGAATTTGTAATGCCCAAAACAATTTGAAGTGATTGGTATTCAATATACTCTGAAATTAAAAAGTTCAGAGTATATTTTTAATTTCCTATTTTTATTAATCGGAATAGATGTTTAATAAATATTTGAAAATCAAAAGATTTAATAATATAGAAATACATTTAATATAACAGATAGAAAAAGAAAAAAATAAATAATATAAAAAATATATTTCAGCGACGAGATGTGAGAGGAGCCATCATCCATTTCGGAAGCATTCCAGTACGGTAAGATACCGGAGGCTTACTGGCTGTAGCTGTGAAAAGCGCAGTTCTTTCCTTTGCAGGGCGAATTCCGTCATTTTGGCGGCGACTTGAACGTAGAGGTGATGTACGTCTTGATGAAGCCGGTTCTGAGTCTTTGTGAGAGCTCGTAGTTGCCGGTTTCGTTGTAGAAGAGTTCAATTGTCTATTTACAGTTTTTGTTGTTTTTGTAGTTGCAGGATGTGTTTCTTTCTTAACAGTCCTTGTTGCTGACGATTCTTTCTTAACTGCCGAAGAGTTCTTTGCTGTTGTTCTTGCAGTATTGATTGTAGTCTTTGATCTCATTCTTGTTTCGGTAGTATTAATTGTACGTGGCGGTGTATATGGTTTCTGATTCGATTCGACAGCTTTGATTGGCTTTTTATCTTGAGATGATTCATCAAGGGTTGATGATTGCAAAATATCCTTTGATGTACTTGAACTACTGTCCTTAATGACATCTCTAGATGAAACGGGTGCTTTGTACTTGTCTGTGCGAAGAATATCCTTTGATGGAGGAGAAACCATCAAACTCAGCTGAGTTTGGACATTTTCCTTCTTGACGTTCGACAACTGTGATTGGTTTTCACGTTGTGGGCGAACAATTCTCGTTTTGACCCAATCATAGCGATAATCAAAAGGAATTTGATCAGCAATCATTGCGTCGTATATCATTTTCCTGTACATCGCGTAATTTGGTTCTTCTTCAAATTTCAATGAGCGAACTGCTATTAAGTAGTTTACAAAGAAACTATTAAGTCCTAAACATAATTCTTCGGGTTTCGTTGATCTCTTCTTCATTAAAATGGCCCCATACTTCTTGCGACCTGTTGTAGGTAAGCTCATCCAAGGAAGACGTCCATGAAGTAAATAAACCCAGACATATAACAAAGATTCCATGTCATCTCTTCTAGACTGTTCCTTTCCTTCGAGCGCATTAATTGATGCATATCTTGCGGTTCCGGTAAGTGATTTTCCTGTGCAATTTCTAATATGACGATTATTTTGGTCAATGTACTTCTTGGAAAGTCCAAAATCGATAATATAAATTTTGTTTGAGTTCTCACTGACTCCCATCGCAAAATTATCTGGCTTGATGTCGCGGTGAATAAAATTATGTTTGTGAACGAATTCAACACAGGAAATCATTTGTCCGGCAAGCATTAATATTGTCTTTTGGGAAAATCTAGGGACCGATGAAACTAAATCTTCCAGAGACTTGCCAAGTAATTCCATCGCCATGTAGTTAGTTGTCTCTGTTTGACCAGTCGCATAAACAACTGGAATGTTGTTGCATGGTTCTACACTATTATTTGTGGATTTTGAAGCCTGAAACATTGAGTATAGCTTGGCTTCGAAAAATAATTGTGGAACACTAGAGTTTCGGGGCTCTAATTTGAGAGCAACCTTTTGTCCGGTCGAATGACTGACAGCTTCCCAAACCTCTCCGAAACTTCCTGAACCGAGACGCTTCTGCGTAATGTAATTGCCGTAGATTTTTCGCATCTGAGGTTTATCCAAACAAAGCTTCACAAAAAATTTTGTACGTTACAATTGATTTTATTTTTAGTCTAGAATTTAATGTAGACAAACAAAAAATCTTGGTAGCCATGCATGAGTCAAATTTCAATATCACATTGAAATTTTGAGGTACATTTAATTGAAGAATATTGAGTATTTTTGTTCAATAATTTGTGCTTAGTATAAAATTTAAACTTTAAGAAATTTTGCAAGTCTCATCACACTTTTCAATGCTCGATTTTTAAAAACTGTTTAAAAATGGAGCTTATATTGAAATAGTGTAGAGACTAAAAATTACCACAGACTATTTCAGGTGATTCTGATGACACCATTGCCTGTATTTCCATATCCATATGAACCGTTTGGGAGTGGCATGTAGTGATTTCCATCAATCATTTCTGTGTTGAAAAACGAGAGTCCACTGAAGTGAATAGATGGATCATAAGATTCACTAAACTTCATGTTTTCTTCTGTGAAATCTTCTGCGATTGCAATGCATCCTTTATGTCCACTGATGAATGAGCTACCTCCTGCACCGCCAGCATAGCTATCATTTCTCGATGCACTGCCACCAAAATATCCACCACCACCAGAACCATTTCCATCAATACCATTTTCAAGTGTACGATCTTTATTTCCTCCTCCGAATCCAAATCTGCCTTTATAAACTCCTTCTCCAAAACCGCCGGATATATGGGAACCACCGTTACTGTAATTTAATTGACTGCTGAATCCAGCCAATCCTCCTGCACTTCCGCCTTGATCAAGTTCTGTAACTCCTTCAATTCCATCACCAGAACCAGATCCGCCAGCAACGATAATGCGACTTTTCAAACCGTCAAATTCTTCAAAATCGCCTGGTTTTAAGCGGATATCTGATGATCCACCTCCACAAAACTGTCCTGGTCCCCCGCCTCCATATGTTGTATAGGGAGAATACATATGAAACATAGAACCAACATGCAAATATAATTTAATTTTCGAATGAAGAGCAATTTCACCTTTTACATAACCACCATGAGAATAGTTATAACGTTCGCCATTCAATCCACAGCCGCCCCATAATTCAAAAATATAATTTCCTGGTTCGAAATCTACTTCATATGGAGAGGAAGAATAAGGTGTTGTACCTTTATAATTATATAGCTTACTTGTAGCTCTTATTTAGATGGAGTGAATCCTTTTCAAGAAAATCCTACCCGAGAGACCTGGGAAAAATATTGAATTCAAAATAGTTTAAACAAGAGTTGATCATACTTATTTAAATTGACATATCAGTATTTCAAACCTATGCATTATGATCTAGTTTTTCCATTATGAAATAACTCCTCATAACATCTGCAATTAAAATAAACAAACATATTTTTATAAAAATTATATAAATAAAAAAAATATTACATGAAATATTCTGATGTTCGACAGAAAATAGAAGAACCATTAACAGAGAAGTAAGAAGGATTATCCTCTGTCTCTATGTAAATGTTAGTAATGAAGTTAACGGGTCTTCCTTGGTAAATACTTCTGTCATCTTCTGATACGTCTTCTTCAGATGGCCTTGCTTCTTTGAACAAGCCAATTGGAACATATGTTTTCTCTGGATTTCTTACATTTGTTCCAACTTTCACCAACTTTATAAGCAAGCTTGGCAATGGAATGAAAGGAGAGGATTGTGTCTTGTCAATTCTAACAATCTTCTGTGTTTTAGAGTTAATTACACAGAATTCTTGTGATAATCTTGTCAACAACAATTCTCCTTCTTTTACACTATCAACTGTTGTATCTACAATGGTGTATTCGTATTCTAACTCGCTAAGAGGCAACTTTTGTCTTTGCGCTTCTTCTGCAGCGAAAGCAATGATTAATGATTTCGGATCAGTTACTAATGGAGTGTTGATGACGTATTTGAACTCTTCCGTCCATGATTTCAACATCTTCTGTCTTGAAAGCAGGAAATTGATGAAGTTATGTGCATCATAGAAAGTGTAAACTTTAGCTGCTTGTTGCCAAATCGTTGGAACTTTTCCACTGAGCATTTCTTGGACTTCTTTGTTGTAAACGTTCTTTTCTGCTTGTTCATGCATTTCTCTCAATGAATTTCCAATGATTTCCAATGCGTTGTTCAGCATAATAATTTCTCTTTCTATAAATGAATGTATTGGCGAAGAAGGTCTTGTTGGATCGTTCGTCAATTTCGATGGGAAAATTGCAAGTAAATCTTCAATTCTGACTAAAATTCCACTGTGAGGAACTTCAACAGGACCTGCGTATTTCAAGAATGGTTGAGCGATGTATCTTGATAATGTCCAGTCCTTTAGAGGTGTATTCAATGGATCTACACCAAGTGTTTCAACCATTGGATAGGCAGGAATCTTCTGGAGATACTGAGAAAATGAAGGAAGAGGAACTTCGTCATCTGGCATAATCCACAATTCAGATTCAGGTCCGACACCGACTTTGAAGCCGTCTTGGAACGTTTCCATTCTTATGATACGCGTCAACAAGTGGTTGATCATCTGTCTGTCTCTTGGATCACAAACAGCTTGGAAAGCAGAATCCATGATTACATTTCTGATGTTTTCAATTGGTTGTGTGTATTCATCTTCTCCAAATATCTCTGAACATCTTCTTCCTATCGCTTGTATTGTAGAAAGAGGAGTCGAGAAGTTAACATTGAATCCGTTTGGTCTAATGACATTTCTATATGAAACAAACGCCAATAAACTTGCAACAGCGTAAACCAATTTCTTCATTAGTTTAAGCTGTCGACCAATAACTAATTGCGGAGCGTGGAATGTGATGATCTGTTGCATCACGGACTTAACAGTTGGTATCAAGTTGACAATCGTTCTTTTACCTTTCATATGGAGAGAAGGAGGAATGGAATCGATGCTTGACGACAAAATTATCATTCGATAATTCGTGTTTATGGAAGTTATCGTCATTTGTGTGAAAATGTCACTTAAAATTGAAATTGTTGCAGGAATATTTTGTGTGTTATGCAACAAAATCCAATTGCCTCTGGATGTGGCCATGGACATGACTTTCCTGATGTTCTTGAGGAATTCTAAGTCATCGCAAATCGAAATACATTCGACATTTTCAACTTTAGATCTTTGTGCAACCAAATGATGAACAACATCACTTGGATCGTTGTTCTGATTGGAAATGATGATATTCGGAACTTGTGGGTTATTTGAAATGATCCTATCAACTGTGAACTCTGGGAAGTTCTGCAAAATCTCTTCTCCATACAATTCTGAAACATATAATCTGACTGTTTCGAAAACGTTTTCGAAACTTGTATAACGAAGTTTCTCGAATGGATCCATGTCCTGGTTACTGTCCTTGTAAGAGAGTTTACTGTTGTATGTCTGTCTGATGTGATCAAGAACTGGTTTGACATCTTTCAAAGTCAAATGTGTTTGAGGAATTCTCATAATGAAAGAAGACAAGAATAAGAAGAACAAAGCATCATTCATTGCCATGTTGGAGAAGAACAATTGCAAGGAAGCATCGGTAATTGATACTCGAAGAGAGATCAATTGTTCAGGTAATAATTGTCCTGCATGATATCCTTCGCTTGCAAAAATTTGAGTGATTCTTCTCATGTAACTCAACAAAGAACCAGGTTGTAAATGAGAAATCTTTGGAATAACTCTAGAAGCGATTTCCCAGAATGTTGCACATTGATGGATCAATGGAGAGAACTGATGCATGATATTCTTGTATTCTTCTTGTGAATTGCTTTCTGTGTTCAAGTTCTTGTTCTTGAAATATTCTTCTTTTGACTTCAAAAGTTCTTCAATTGTTTCTGTATCACTCAAATAGTCGTAACTTGAATTTACTCCTTGTGTTGCAACAATGTCTGCTAAGATATCAAGGATGTTTCGTCCGTAGTTAACTTCATTAACTCTCTTCATTATTTCGTTCTTTCTATCTTCAAGAAGTTTGTTGAATAAAGTTTCGTGGAAATACATTCCGAAAACTTGCTTGAAAATGTGTTTCAAGTTTGTTGTCATTGTTGCTGTTACATCGATTGTTGTACACCTTGAAAGCAAGTCAAGAGGTAATTCTTTGATGGAATAAGCAGGAGAGACCAAAATCAATTTGAAGTTAGGATCCCAAGCAACAACACGACTTCCAATTCTTACATCTTTTTGCATCGAATTTTCTTGTGGAAGAGCATCTAAAGGAATCAAAATACTGAGCAAAGGAATCATCTGCATAACATCGTATATCAAGAGTGTTCTTCCTTCTGATACAGCTTGTGCTGCAGTGACATCCAATGTCGATGAATTCGCTGAGCATTCGATTAATCTTGATTTGATATCTTTTGCAACAATAGAATAAGCCATTCCATCAGGATCAATCAATAAAGGAGTTCTCAGAGTTGCGAAGATATGATGAATGTCTGTAGCAATATCCAATGTATGTGCGGTATCAGGTCTGTCGTAATAGAATTCCGGTCTGATCTGAATGAATCTCCATTGAACCATTTTGTCGACATCTCCATCGTCGCATTCGATTCCAGCGTTTTTAATCAATTCGAGAGCAGAAAGATAAGCAGTGACTCTGTTCTCGATATTGATAACACCGCCAAATACAAGGAAGAATGAGAATAACATGGAATTTCCTATCAATTTCTCTTTCTTTTGAGGGAATTCTCTTGTATCGTTTTGCCATTTTTCAACGAATTGTTCGATATCTTTGAAAATTGATTCCAAAGACTTCTTTCGCTCTGAAATTGCTTTGTAATCCTTTTCCATTTGTTCTCTTGATGCTTGGCTTGCTTGTAAGTTCTTTAACTCGTTCTCAAGCGAAGCAGCAACTTGTTCTATTGATGCCAATTCGACATCCATTTCTTCCATGTATTGTTGCAATGATCTTTCCTTTTCTTCCAAAATTCTTCTTTGTGTCGTTCTTGAGTTGCTTAATTGACAATATTGACATAACAAATGGATCCAATTAAACAATGTATAAAGAGCTGGTGCTGTTGCTTCGAGTTCTGTTGGATTCATCGCTTCGTTCTCAAAATATGGCATTGCAAGTTCCAAAACTTTTGGAGTAATTGAATCTGTTGTTATACAACAAGTCAATAGTTCAATGAAATTAGGATCCATTAACAGTTTCTGGCCACTTCTTTCATATGAAGGTGGCATGTCCAAGAACAGACAGAACAACTCAAATAGCAATCGCATTGATGGCATTGGATCATTTGCCGAAATTCTGATTGTATCAATTTCGTTTTTAGTCAATTTCTTGACTTCTTCGATTGCTTGTGTTAATTTCGGACTTAAATCATTGAACTCTGCATCATATCTCTCTACATCATCTCTCAATGTCTCAACTTCAGCTAACTTAGTCTTCTTATCTTCAATGAGCTTCTGTTGTCTGTTATCAATTGCTTCTTTTCTTTGTGTGTAACTTGAATTCAAAGATTCAGAATCAACTTGTAATCTTTGCAAAGTAGGAGCCAAAGAATCCAATCTTCTTTCTATTACATGCGCTTCTCCTTGTAGTTTGTCGATGAAACTAATTGCGCTTTGAGAATTCTCGAATTTAGTGTTCAAATTCTGGAAATCAGCAGCAGTGAAATGACAGAAAGAATCGATGAAATCGTACATCATATTTGGATGGAAATAAGAAGTGAATTTCCTTGCAACAGTGTGCATATTTCCAAGGACTTGTGAAACAGCTGTTGTTGAAGATCCAATGACTTTCTTTGTTGCTGGTTGTTCGATTGCTTCTTGTGCAAAAGCAGTGTAATAATTTGTTGTATCGTGATTCAAATTAAGTTCAACGAAATGAGCATGTTCTCCTTTAATTAATTGTTCATTTTGAGCAATAACACCATGGATGTTTATCCTCAAAATGTTCTTGATTTGTCTCATTGCAATGATCTTTTGTTCAAAGGTTAAAGCATGAGAATTCGTGAATCTTGTGTACAAATCTTCCAATGTTGATTTCGTGAAGAAATGAGTGTAATCATATCCAGTAACAAATAAAATCAAAGCGTCTAATTCTTGCTGAGATTCTTTAGTTGCTCTTGTGAATATAACTGCTCTCTTTTGATGCAAAGCAGCATTGATTACAACATCTCGAATTACGCTTGACAAAGAGAAAATTCTGTCTTCTTTGACCATTTGTTCTTCAATTGTTGGAGGTGCGATGTTGATGAAATCATATTCACATGAATGAGCAATGATTCTCGTAATCGAATATTTACCTAATCCTGGCATTCCGTTGATTATAATGTTACAACCAGGAGTTCTCATTGCTCTTAACATCATTGCCCAAGTATCAACTAAAGCTGGAGTAACTCTCAAAGAAAGTTTTTCAATTACATTTGCATTGAAAATTGCGATATCTCTGATGATCATGTAAGCCAATTGTTGATAAGCAACTGTCTTTTGGTCGATCTTGAATTGCTTCATATCTTTTGTTAAATGGCAAATAGGAAGTAAAATATTCTTAGAATTGACCAAATCCCAAGCAGCTTTCTTTTCATTTTCTGTTCTGCACTCATTATTTCCAATGAATTCGATCTTATCTTTGACGTCTTGTTGAGGGAACTGATGCAAGAATCTGAATTTCATTTCTGCAAACAATTGTTTCACGATATCATGCGTTGAAACATCATCTCCTAAATGACAAATTGTAAACAAAGATTGTAACAACAAAAGTGGTTTGTTTTCGAGTTCGAATTGTCCCAACAAATTTGTAGCGATTCTTGCATAAAATTCGGCATTTTGCTGCTTGTGTCCGTAAGCTTGCAATATCTTTGAGGCCATGAACATTGCGGAATCATTAGATATCTCTGATAATCCAATTGGAATGTATTTTTGAACAAATCTTATATCGTATTGTGTTATATCTTCAACAGTAATGATTGTTACGAATCTCATGATTGTTAATGTCTCGTAAACCTTTGGATCTGTTGTTGAGAAAGCGTTGATCTTTCCTATATTGTTGATTTGTCTCAGGAACTCTTGCAATCTCGTGTGATGTGGTTTCAATCCTCTTATTACTAAAATAATGATTTTGTTTTGTGTTCCTGGAGTCAAAATCTTAGATAGGAATGGAGTATGAGACAAAATGAATGAAATGAATTCATCAGCTGTTACGAAATCACTTGCATCGAATGTAGTTGGTAAAAATACATCATTCATTGAAAACAGAATTCTCAAAAATGTATCACGACCACTTGATTTCGGTCCGTGAATTATAATTGATCTTTGGTTTTCAAGTAATCTATTTGCAATTTCAAGTGGATGTAAGAATTGTACATTCATGACATGTACTTCGTTAGGGAATATAGGTAATTGTCCTTCTGATCTTGCCTGGTAAATTTGTTCATTATCTGTCAATTTGAAATTCAGAGGAATCAATTTTCCTTCGAAAACTTGCATTGAACTCAAACATGGCTTTGGATACATGTTCCAGAATAAATCAGGTACATTATAGCCGATCCAATCCTTAGGAACAGTAATCTCTTCTTCATCTCTCAGCCATTGATCGAATTTCTCTTTTTCTGAATCTTCAAGGAACTGTGTGAAAATTCTATTGCAAGCGTAAACTAAACTCAAAGACATTTGGTATTGATTCTTCATGTCCATCTTCATTGTGAAGATTAGATTGAGTGCAACAATAGCTGTGAAATACGGTAAAACCTCTGATAAATAGATCTCTCCGTCTTTCATTTTCTCTGGTTTCTGGGAATATCTGATTTTGTTCTTTGAATGATAAACGAATTTGACAACTTTTGGAATCAAATCAACAAATGTTTCAGCGAATAAACTTGCGCGTTCTGTTTCTTCGTATCCAAGATCGACGAAAGTTTTCTTTAGAATGATGTGTGGATGGTTTAATTCGCAGGAAACAATCAAAGAAGTGTTGATTTGGCAAGATTTCATGTAAATTACAGGAATTCTTGATAATAATCCTGGAGTTAATCCTTCACAACTTGTTGATTCATAAATAACTTTCATCCTCCTGTTTGCGTAAACAAAGTCTTGGCTTGCTGTTCTGAATGCGTTGCAGTTTGTCTGAGGGACAAAGTATCTCATGAATAACATGAAATCTTTCGAATAACTGCCATCAAATCTAAGAATATTAATTGTCTTAGATTTATTATGCATTTGATTCAAAATAGCTTGTAAATGTCCATAAGCCCATGTTTGTCCAAATGTCAAATCATCATAAATATGTCCATACAATCTGTTTGGATTCTCGGAATTGTAATAACAATCGAAGATCTCGTATTGATTGACATTCGGGAATAAATCGTGGAATTTCTGTGAAGAAACACTTTGTTTGAGAATCTTAACGATTAATGATTTTCCACTTGATGGTTGACCAATTATAATAACAGAATCAGAGAAGGACAAAGTAAACATGAGATCCAAAGTTCTGTCTGCCAAATAATCAACTGGCAAATAAGGATTGATTTTGTTGATTTCTTCCTTGAAAATTTCCAAATATTTCGCTTTGTTTTCTTCGAAAGAAATCTTATCAAATCTTTGGTTGATTTCATCGACAGGAACATTGAAACAGCTTGAAATAACATTAATCAACTTCTTTTTCTCGTTATCTATCCTTGTCATCGAGAAGAACTGATAAGCAGTGTACATCAAACCAGAAACATCATCAACACCTTTAGTTCTAAGTAAAACAGCTCCATCAATGATCATAAACGCAGAATACAACAAAGAATTCATAGATTTGGCTTGAGAAATAATTTGTGGAACTGTTGTTATCAATGAATAAATAATCAATGATAATCTCTTCGTGTCGATAAATGACTTAGCCAATAATCTAATTTCAATGATTTGAGCTGGATTTGTGTCACTTAAAGCGATTGATCTAATTGTTGATCTGATCTGCGAAGGAACGCATTCACTTTGGTATTTGACGTGATGCCCTGTGAAGAAGAATCTTGCGTTTGGATCAAGTTCAACTGTTTTAGAAGAGATAATAATTTTGTTTGAATTCGCTTTCAACAATTGATACATTGTATGAATGTTATCAAATAAATAACATAAATATCTGTTTTCCATCTTTTCGATGTGATTAAAGATACACCATGATCCTGTAAGACATGTTCCAATTAATATTCTACTCAAGAAATGTTCAGAATTATGTGGGAAAGGATACCAAGAATAAATAAATCTTCCCATATCAAATGACAATTTGTAAATTGTTGATGATTTTCCTGTCATCGTTGATCCTAATAATATCATTGGATCAATCTCTCTGTTACCTCTTGCCAAATTTTGGTATGCAAATTCTATGGCTGTTGTATGAACTAAAAATGGAACTTTGCCCCAGAATTCGTATCCCAATTCCCAAGAAGTTTTCGAAATTGATGCAACAATTTGGTTGTCTTCTTTTCTGAAATTCAACATTGTTTCGAAATCTAAAACAGGATTTAATCCTTTTCGTTTTTGTTCTTGAGCAATTAGATTGGAATGTCTATCTCTAAATGACATAAGAATTGATAAAATTCCTGCTAGTTCTGGTCTTCCTCTTACCAAAGTTGAAACTTGACTGATATAATCTTTGATTAAATCAGGGAATGGAGTATCTCCTTTCATTGTTTGTTTCAACAAGAAATTCTTCAATGATGTTGTTAAAACAACATTCAAAGCAATTGCCAAAATATTTGGTTCATACATCGTTATCCATTTGCTGAACAAAACATTGGAATATTTAAGAATTGCTTTGATTGACAAATCTTTGATGTTTTCATGGATTTTTTCAATCAAATCACTGATCCATTGTTCAGGAACTGGAGTGATGTCTACTGGTTTAGATAAGCTCAATGCATAGCCATCATCGCCAATGATCTTGTAGACTTTCGATTGGAAAATCGGTCCATCTTCTCCAACATCATTTTTACATTCAAGAGAATCAATGAACATCAAGATTTTAGAGATTGTTGTTGAGATTTCTTTAACGGAAGTAGAGGAGATAAGCTTAAGAACATCATCGTTTGATAAGAAGAACAATCTTGGCATTGCATTTCTCTTTGTATCCAAAAGTTTTCCGAGAGAAGCAATGATTGATTCCATTGTTTGATTGTTTTCATTTAATGCATCCAAAAGCGAAGGGAAAGAACAAACAGAGAACAATCTTGTGTCTTTAATTGTATGTCGTGCAATTGTAAACCATTTTCTCTGAACACCTGAGAATTTGTTCATTTGTTGTGGCAACAAAGATCTCGTGAGTTCTTGAGAGAAAATTGCACTCAAAATTATCCAATTACTTTGGAATAATTGCCATGCTTCAATGATTTGATTAATGTTCTCTAAAGTGGAAGCAAGGTTAGTAACTGTATCTCTTATTCCTTGTACATATGGTCTTTGCAACATAGAGTTAATGTTGATCAAAGCATCATTGATTTCTTGTAATAATTGGTCTGTATTTCCTAACAACAAATTTTCTTCGTTCAATGTTCCTTGGATTTCGGCAATTGGCATTTGAACTTTGTTCCAATAGTTAGTTATCTGGAAGAACTCTGTCTCAAGCTTGTATTCACCCAATGACATATTCGTGATCTGTTCAATTTTATCTTTATGTTGCAAAATGTTCATTTTAATTAATTCATCAGTTGTCATCTTTGGATTATAACTTGCTTGTTGATTGCAGGACTCAAACAAATTGTTCCAATGGCGTGCTTGCATCCTTGAGCTGCTTAACTTCTCGAGTTCATCGATATATGGTGAAATTTCATTCACTTTTCCTGCCAATTCGACCAAAATTGGATAATTGTTTGATGCAGGTAACATTTGAAGTTTTTTAACATGAGAATCGATTTCCATGACTGATTCCTTGAAAGAAACGATATCTATGTTAGAAAATGGTTTCTTTGCAATCTGTTCTGATATCTTCTGCCAGTTTTCTATTGATGTATAAAGAGTTAGAGCAAATTCATTGATATTTATAACGTTATTGTAAAACGCGAATTTGTTGATTTCTACATCAATAATTTCCTGGAATTTAATGGCTTGTGAAACTTGTGTTTCCAATTCTTTCATCTTACGTAATCTCTTCTCACTTCTTGGTAACTCTTTCTCGATATCAACCAATGTCAATGTTGGAGGAATTGCTGAAACTTTTTCATAGTTTTTGTTCAGTTTTGTCTCCAAATTTGAAATCATTTCTTTGAGTTGTTTAATGAAATAATTCACAACATTGCTTTTGATGGATTGAGCAACAATGAAATCGCTTTGGAACACTTGATACTTCTGGTGTAAAGGATTTCTTTTATGCTGCAACTGGAACTTCTCAAACAAGTTATATGTTTCATCAACAAACTTAATTTCGTTTTCAATTGCAGGTTTGACATTTTCTGCTCTTTTGAATGTTTCGCAAAAAGAAACGAAACCATCCAAAGTACTTGGTTCCATCTTAAGGATTTTACCATAGTTAGTTAATGCTCCATCTACTTGTTGTATTTTCATGGAACTCAATTTATCCAAAAGATTTTGTAGATCCAAAAATGTCTTTTTCGGAATTGGCTTCAAAATTTGTCTCAATCCCTTAAGATCGATATGTAAAACACCTTTGACAATACCTTGTCTGAGATTATTCACTTCATGGTCATCCTCTATCAACTGCTGCATCTCTTCTTTAACCTTCTCAAAATCAACAACAGGTTGTTCGTCACTTTTTACCAAAAAAGTGTCATCTCCAATATTATTCAATGGGTCCTGAATTTCACCGACAAATTTTGTACCTTTTCTTGTTATCAAGTAATCCTTGACATCCCAAGACTTTCCCATCTTGTAGATTGGGTATAAATTAGAGAAATCTTGTGCTGTAATGAAAGCTTCGTTGTAACACTGTCTCAATGTTTTGATGATTCTTTCTTCGATTTCTGGCAAAATATTTTCACATGAAGTGAAATTTGTTAATGCTGGTCCATAAGCACATAAATCTTTAAAGTCACTGCCAGAGTTTTCGATTAATACTCTAAGTTTCTCCATCTTGAGAATACGAGGTAATTTGTTCAATGTATCAATGGAATTCGCTAATTGTCCGGTGATTGATTTTTCAAGTTGTTCCAAATTTGGAGTGAAATCAACTGTTCCTTGCTCTGTGAACAAAACTTCGACTTGGAAAATGGAGGATCCTTCTTGTGAAACATTGTGGTCTGCTTGTTTCCAGCAATCAACGCAAATCTTCGCTAAAGTTTCTAATATCATATAATCTATCGTTCGAATGAACTGTCCGAGTGAAGCAATCTGGCGATTGACATCTTCAGTCTTTTGGTATCTGAGATGTGCTTTCTGTTCCTCGAGATTTTCAAGGATTTGGATATTTGGATGACGACGATTGAAATTAAAATCGGCATCAGTAACCTGGACGTGTAGAGGATCGGCAATTTTATCAAATAGTTGGGCAATGATCTCTGTATTGTTGTTAATGAACTCCATGTAACTGGATTTAAGTTTTTCTGTGTTTTCCTTTGATTGTTCTTCGAAATCTTCGAGCCTGAACTTCTTGCCAACTGTGAAACATAACAAATATTGCTTCAGTAAGCTGATTAACGTATTTTGAGAATCATAAATTTTCAATTGTTGTCCTAAAAACAAAGGATTCCTAAAAATCGTATTGTTCATGGCGCGCGCAAGTAATCCTTTGAACCTTTGTTCTTTAAGGAACAATGTCCACGCTCTAAAATTCTTCCAAATGAAATAACGTGCAAAAAATTTTAATTTGCGAATTGCTTCGTATATGAACTTTTCTCTTGAATACTGGTCGATTGTAAGTGTTTCTGTTTCACCGTTTGCATAAATATGAGTAACTCCGCTTGCACTCATTGTATAATAGTCATTTCCGATTTCCGTTGATGGAACTTTCTTTAAGTCGTATGGTGAAAAGTTTGGATCTTTTCTATCCGTAGAATAAATCAAATAAATAAAGTGATGACCACTTCCATCCTTTCTTTTTGAAAAGTATGCGATGGGATCGTCTTCAAATGCTAATGTTTGTCTTTCTATTTCTTCTTCGCGCTTTGAAATTTGTAAAGCTGTTATATTTGGAAGATCTCCAAGAGGTTTTGTACCAAGACGTGAAGTGTTTGTAAGCTGTGAACTTTTCGGTGGTATAATTGGTGATTTAATAACTGGTCGACCAGTTTTCTTTGCATGATTACGAAAAGCATAGAGAGGTGGGTTTTGTTGCTTCAAAAATGTATCGCTTGTGCCTTCTCCAGGCGCAATAATATCGTAAGAATGAACAGTTCCTTCAAGATTTGAAGGAGCAAATAAAACTTTTTCGATAACTTTCTGTCCTGGTGTAGGATCAATTTTAGAAGTCCTTACTCGTGTATCCGATATTGGTGATTTATTCGGATTTACACCAGGAATGTTCTTTTCATCCCTATTATTCATTCCTGATGATAACGAGCGCAAAAGTGACAATTCAAAAAATTTTATAACAAATGATTTTCTAATCAAAAACTCTTTTATATTATTGATTGTCATTACCAAAATTTATAAAAACTTTTGTTAAATTGTTATTATCTTTGTATTTTTATGCAAAATTCGCAAATCTTCAAATTTTAAAAGGAAAGTCAATGTGAAAACTTTGATTTTTACTTATAAAATTTTATAAAATTTGAAATATGTTGGAAACTTTCGTATTTATTGTATATTAAACAAGATTGTATTCAGAATTGATGAAAATGACTATTACAATATCAGAAAAACAGTCTGGTATAGCAGGTCAATCTTAGTATATTAAATGATAATATTCAAGCTTGTTGAATTCATTGGTTTTGTTCATATTACTAAAGTGAGAAATCAAAAAAAGTGACATTATTTGATAAAAGTGCCAAAATGGATGCCAATCAAAAGAAATGGATCATGGATACAATATCCACAATTAATGACTGGGCAAAAGATATGACCCAGTTCGATAAGAAAACGCAGGAAGAGTTAGATCAAAGAATTCAGGATGATATTGCAGATTTCGTAAGTATTCCTGAGTTTTATTCAATACCACTGCCTATTATTATTAGAAATATCAAACGTGCACAGTACGTATTCTCATCTCGTGAAGCAGCTATTGCTATGCGTTCATGTTTAGAATATCATAAGGCGCCTGGTTTAGGTGTTTTAGGATTTATTCAATTGAGAGAAGGCTCTGGCACTACTGCTTTCGAGGCTATTAAAGAATTGACAGATAGTCCTATCATTAACCAGTTAGTTATCCATCCTTTCGGAGCTCCATCAAAAATCAAGTCAGAATCCGAACTTAACTTAGAAAAACTACAGCAGCAACGTAAAGCATTACTAAAAGAAACCAATCAAAAGATGATTCAGTCCGAAAATTTAGTTAAAGATTTAACAAAGCGAAAAGAGGACGGAGAGAAGTTTAAAGAGCGTTGCCATAACTGGCCTCAAGATAGAAAGAAATACGAAGACGCAATAGACGCTTTTATTGAAGAAAACAAAGAACTCGAAGAAGATAACCTCAAATGGAAGAATGCTGCATTCAGAAAGTTCGATACAAAGAAACAGACAACAATCAATCATGATATATGTGACGCTTGCGATAAAGACGACGCCGAAAGTGTTATCTTCTTAATTGAGAAAGATAAGTCGATCATCAACAAACTTTACGAAAGCAAAGATACAGGAGAAGAATGGACACCACTTATGCATGCTTGCGATAAGGGTAGCTTCGAATGTGTCAAAGTTTTGCTTAATAACGGCGCAGATCCGAACAAAAAGGCTTGGCATGGTTCTCCTTTGAGCTATGCCCAGAAAGGAGGATACAGTAATATCATTGCTCTTCTTAAAGAGAATGGTGCGGAAGATTATTAGTAATTTTATATATTGGATAGTTGTTTTGTATATAATATAGCAGATTATAGTGATATATTTGTGATTAGTTTATTTTAAATGAGGCATGGCCTCTAATAGTAAAAAAATAATAATTTTTTTATCAAAATAAATCAAATTTGACAAAATATATTGAGACATTTTCGAATATCTAGCATGCTTAGCTATTCCGTTCTTACTATTCAATTATATTGAATAGATGTAAAGTTTTGATATAAACATAATTAAACAGTTTATATGCATGTTTATCAGCAACTATCTTGGCTGGTTCCATTTATATTATTATTTTCTTGCTATATTCTTACACCAGAAGACAGCCCATATATTAAATTCACCTTAAAAAGAATTCAAATTTTTATTAAATGTGTTGAAAAATATAAATATTTGACTTCAAATCACAACAACACAGTCAAAATTTAGGGTATCAAAAATGGAACATATCCTGAATATTTAGATCAGTTAATTCCTATGCATTTAACATACGAAAATCCTCCAGACGGAAACTTTTTTGGTTTTTTAGAGAACTCCGACAAAATTCAATACAGCAAATATTATTCAAACCTTAGTTACGTTCCTAGATATGCAACAAATCAAACTAAAAATTTTGTAACTAATTTCAATGGAAAAATCGCTATCTACAAAAATGCTTATGCAAATCGATTTGGAGAATTTTCTATAGGCAATTATATCATTAGACCTCCGTTTGATTCAGCAGCAAATGGAATTCGCTTTTATGAAGATGGCCCTGTAGTTTTGGATTGTGATAAAGCATGTGTATTCGGACATGCTTGGATGTATAATTTTGGTCATTTTATTCATGACTATTTATCACCTTTGATGATAGTTCCAAGCGATTTCTTGGAAGAATGTGTTGTTGTCTTATCAGAAAAAACGAGAAAATTTGGTGATGATGTTCTTAAAGCGGTTGGTGTTCATCGCTATATCTATCTTTCAAACAACGAATGGGTTCATGCCGATCTTCTTGCCGTTGCCATTGAAGGTCGTCCATATCTTATGCATTTTGGTGTTCCTCTGCAGAAACTTGTTGATCGTTTGAAAATTTATTTTCGAACATTAGAAATAAAACCAACCAAATATGTTATTATGAACAGAGCTCTATCTATTAGAAGACATATTGATAATATTAAGGATCTTGTGGTAGCTGTTCAAAATTATATAAAAGAAGTAAAATTTGAAGAAATAGAAGATCAACTTGGATCAATTGAATCATATGCAAAGTTTTATCCATCGATCAAATGTGTTTTTCTTCCAACAGGAAGCAACGCAGTTAAAACTATTTTCATGCATCCAAACACAGTTGTTATCATTGCAAGCAATGAGATGTTTGACTATGCTGTTGGTTATTCAATTCTTTCTGTTCACATCAAAGTTATATATTTCGTCCATCTTAATAATCACCATGATAACTTTGATGTTGACATTCCTCTTTCCATTGAAGCAATCAATGTTGGTGTTGAAACATCAATTAAGGGACATTTTCCTAAACCAACACCAAACTATACATTTATTGATTATATACACTAGTATTCAAATCATATATTATATATTATCGGAGTTAGTTATATAATTTAGGTGTGAAGTGTCTCCGCCTCTTCCAACCTAAACTCGTTTTCATATCCTTTGCACCTTTTCAAAATTGAATATATTTGTCAATAAGATTTTTCTGGCATTGCTACACCATGCATCATAAGATAATATTATCTTATATAACGTTAATTATAAGTCATGAAAATTGAGAGGGTGAGACCGGAGCCTTAATGGAAGCGTGAGAGAGAACAGTTTAGGAAAGCTTAATTTCAGACCTATCTGAAGCTTCCATTAGATTCACATAAGTGATAAATGAATTATATGATAGTTTTTTCCTGCGAATGAGTTAATAATTTATTGCAAATAAATTATTCAGCAGAATGTAGAAAGCAATAACCTTCACTTTTCCTAAATTTGTATTTGGATTCACCCATGCATAGAATTCTTTTATTTGTCTTATTTTAATTAAAAAAAACTGAAGTAATCAGTTCAATTCCTCATTCTTCTAGAATTTACAGATAAAATTATGAATATAAGCTTAATAAATTGTCTGTATTTGCAATTTCACTTGTCTAATAAAAGCTTAAAATTTTGTTCTTATAAAATCTACAAATTTCAAAACAAACCTTATGGGTAAGCTGCAAAGTTACTTCTAAGGTATCCAGAAATAACGAAATTTCGTGAGCCCACCTTTCAAAAATGTTTGAATGATTTCATAGAATCAAAATTTTGGAAAATTTTTAATTTAATTCAGAAAAAAAAATGAGTTCTGACTATGCAAAACCATATTCGGACTTTATTGGAGCATTTGAAAAGCTTTTTCATATAAAATCCAATGAATCTCTTGAAGATATTAGCGATATCATCACAAATGTTTTGATTTCGAAATATCAACTTACCAAAAGTCAACTTACTGAGATCATTTTAAAAGCACTTCAATACAATTATGCTTCAGGAGAAAATTATATAAAAATACTTAAGAATGTTGGATTGATAATAAGAAAATTTCAGATTTAACATTCCCCTTGGAGGGTTCAGTCGAATTTATTGTTATGCATGATCAAATTGATAAATTTAAGGAATACATTTCTCAAAACGAACTTAAAAATGATGATTTTTTATAAATTCCTAAAATAAATGAAGATAATGGTTTCAAATTATCATTAATTGAAGCATGTGCATATTTTGGATCTGAAAACATTTTCTATTTCTTAATTTCAAACCAAAAGTATCCAATATCAAAAGAATGTCTTCGATATTCATTAATTGGTAGAAATTCAGACATTATCAACGAATGCTTAAAGGAAAACCAGATGGATAAAGATTGTCTTAGAGACATTGTATGTTCACATAACAACGAAATGCTTGAATATGTTTTAGAAAGAAATATTTGCACTTATACAGATTTCGATGAAGAAGACCCATATTCAACAGCAATTTACGAAGATATTATCAAATACCAAAACCCGAAAGCCGTATTTCTTCTTTTTGAAAGGGAGAAAAATTTCATCGTTCCATGGTGTGCTGCATTTCCTCAAACAATTGATATACTCAAAAACGAAAAACCTCCTGATAAAATTGATAATAAGAAAATAAATATTCTACAATATGCATGCATGTCACAAAATTCCGATATTTTCAAATTTTTATTTAACTCAACTGACGAAATTGATGTCAATTATCATGATATATATAAAATGACTGCTCTTCATTACGCCGCAATGTATAATAATATGGAAGCAGTAAGGATTCTTATTTCTCATAGTGCTGATGTCAATGCTAAAACTCTTCTTTTTCATTTCATATCAATCATTATTATATTGGATTTTCTTTCATTTCATATCAATCATTATTATATTGGATTTTCTTTCATTTCATATCAATCATTATTATATTGGATTTTCTTTCATTTCATATCAATCATTATTATATAGAATTCTTTTTCATTCCATATCAATCTTTTTTTTATGAAATATATTTTATAATATTGAGTGTCCACTTTCTTTTGCAATTATGCAAAATTCGAATGATATTATCAAATTCTTAGTCGAACATGGTGCAGATGTCAAATCTAAAATTACTTGATTTCTTTTCACATTAATCATTATTCTATGGAATTCCCTTTAATTTCATATCAATCATTATTCTATGAAATTCTCTTTCATTTAATATCAATCATTATTATATAGAATTATTTTTCATTGCACATAAATCATTTTTTTATGAAATATATTTTATAATATTGACTGTCCTCTTTCTTTTGCAATTAAGCAAAATTCGATGGATATTGTTAAATTCCTAGTCGAACATGGTGCTAACGTCAATACCCAACTTACTCAATTTCATTTCATATCAATTATTATTCTATACAATCCTTTTTCCTTTCATATCAATCATTATTCTATCCAACTCTTTTTCATTTCATATCAATCATTATTCTATGATATTCTCATTCATTTCATCTCATTCATTATTATATTTAATTCTCTTTCATTTCATATCAATCATTATTACATTGTGTTCATTTACATTGCACATCAATCATTATTATATCCAATTCTCTTTCTTTTCATATTAATTGTTATTATATTATATTCTCTCTCATATCATATCAATCATGTATTTTATTGGATTCTCTACCAATTCATATCAATCATTATTGTATAGAATTCTCTTTCACTTCATATCAATCATTATTATATAGAATTCTTTTTCATTATACATTAATAATTTTTTTATGATATATATTTTATTATATTGAATGTCCACTTTCTATTGCCATTAGTCAAAGTTCGAATGATATTGTTAAATTCCTAGTCGAACATGGTGCTAACGTCAATACCCAACTTACTCAATTTCATTTCATATCAATTATTATTCTATAAAATCCTTTTTCCTTTCATATCAATCATTATTCTATCCAACTCTTTTTCATTTCATATCAATCATTATTCTATGATATTCTCATTCATTTCATATCAATCATTATTCTATGATATTCTCATTCATTTCATCTCATTCATTATTATATTTAATTCTCTTTCATTTCATATCAATCATTATTACATTGTGTTCATTTACATTGCACATCAATCATTATTATATCCAATTCTCTTTCTTTTCATATTAATTGTTATTATATTATATTCTCTCTCATATCATATCAATCATGTATTTTATTGGATTCTCTACCAATTCATATCAATCATTATTGTATAGAATTCTCTTTCACTTCATATCAATCATTATTATATAGAATTCTTTTTCATTATACATTAATAATTTTTTTATGATATATATTTTATTATATTGAATGTCCACTTTCTATTGCCATTAGTCAAAGTTCGAATGATATTATTAAATTCTTAGTCGAACATGGTGCTGATGTCAATGTCAAACTTACTCAATTTCATTTTATATCAATCATTATTCTATACAATTCTCTTTCATTTCATATCCATCATTATTCTATGGAATTCCCTTTAATTTCATATCAATCATTATTCTATGAAATTCTCTTTCATTTAATATCAATCATTATTATATAGAATTATTTTTCATTGCACATAAATCATTTTTTTATGAAATATATTTTATAATATTGACTGTCCTCTTTCTTTTGCAATTAAGCAAAATTCGATGGATATTGTTAAATTCCTAGTCGAACATGGTGCTAACGTCAATACCCAACTTACTCAATTTCATTTCATATCAATTATTATTCTATACAATCCTTTTTCATTTCATATCAATCATTATTCTATGGAATTCTCTTTCTTTTTATCTTATTCATTATTATATTTAATTCTCTTTCATTTAATATCAATCATTATTATATAGAATTCTTTTTCATTATACATTAATAATTTTTTTATGATATATATTTTATTATATTGAATGTCCACTTTCTATTGCCATTAGTCAAAGTTCGAATGATATTGTTAAATTCCTAGTCGAACATGGTGCTAACGTCAATACCCAACTTACTCAATTTCATTTCATATCAATTATTATTCTATAAAATCCTTTTTCCTTTCATATCAATCATTATTCTATCCAATTCCTTTTCATTTCATATCAATCATTATTCTATCCAATTCTTTTTCATTTCATATCAACTATTATTCTATGCAATTCTCTTTTATTTTATATCGATCATTATTCTATGTAATTTTTTCTCATTTCATATTAATCATTATTCTATGTAATTTTTTCTCATTTCATATCAATCATTATTATATAGAATTCCCTTTAATTTCAGATCAATCATTATTCTATTCAATTCTCTTTTATTTTATATCATTCATTATTCTATGTAATTTTTTCTCATTTCATATTAATCATTATTCTATGTAATTTTTTCTCATTTCATATCAATCATTATTATATAGAATTCCTTTTAATTTCATATCAATCATTATTATATGCAATTATCATTTATTTTATATCATTCATTATTATATTTAATTCTCTTTCATTTCATATTAATCATTATTATATTGGATTCTCTTTCATTTCAAATCAATCATTAATTTATGATATTTTCTTGAATTTCATATAAATCATTATTATATTTAATTCTCTTTCATTTCATATCAATCATTATTATATTGTTGCATGCTAAGTTCGGTCAACGATAGAAATTGAGTGGAAATTAATCGTCGAGGAAGTACGATTATGTAAAGTAAAAAATGTTGTGGGATTTTTAATATTATATATTATTTTATAATAAAAATTTTTTGAGTCATTTTAAGAAGCACATATAATTTTTTGAATTTAAAAATTAAAGTAGTGTCAAACGAATTTATCACTTAATTTAATACTCAGATTTCTTAAAATTAATGAAAAAAGGTTTTCTGAGAACTTTTGAGAATGGTTTTCAAATTCCATTATTGAAAATATATAGGTATTGTATGAAATTCAAACTCTATATTTATTAAAATTCTAAATTTTTAATAAAATAACTTTTCAGAGGAATATGATTTTGAATGGTTGATTAATAAGTATAAAAATGTCTACGATTTGAAGGAGGGAATTGTTCCTTATGAGGTATACATCATAACTATATACCTCATAAGGAACAATTCCCTCTTGATAGCTGGGAAACTTTCTCTGAATAACTTATCATTTGGAGAAAGTTTCCCAGCTATCTATTAGAAACTAAAGGCTGTGAGGCACTAATATATAATCAGTGCCTCATAGCCTTTAGTTTCTTATTAAAAACGAGAAAACTTGTTCGAAATGATAAACAATTTCGAACAAGTTTTCTCATTTTAAGGAGGGAATTGTTCCTTATGAGGTATACATCATAACTATATACCTCATAAGGAACAATTCCCTCTTGATATCCTGTATATTTTTGAATATATTTTTTTAATTAAAGTTCTCAAAAGTATTATCAAAAGTGATTTTTAAAAAATATCTCCAATTAATTAACTAATTAAAAGTATTATATTTTTAAAATTAAATAGTTTTTCAATTTTTTTGAAGGAATTGAGATACTTCCCACGACAATAAAATTGAGAGGTTTACATTATGACTGATCTTAGCATGCAACAATATAGAATTCCTTTTAATTTCATATCAATCATTATTATATAGAATTCCTTTTAATTTTATATCATTCATTATTATATTTAATTCTCTTTCATTGCATATCAAACATTAATATATGATATTCTCTTTCATTTCAAATCAATCATTAATTTATGATATTTTCTTGAATTTCATATAAATCATTATTATATTTAATTCACTCTCATTTCATATCAATCATTATTATATAGAATTCCTTTTAATTTTATATCAATCATTATTATATACAATTATCTTTCATTTCATATAAATCATTATTATATTTAATTCTCTTTCATTGCATATCAAACATTATTCTATACAATTCTCTTTCATTGCATATCAATCATTAATATATGATATTCTCTTTCATTGCATATCAAACATTATTCTATACAATTCTCTTTCATTTCAAATCAATCATTAATCTAAGATATTCTCTTTCATTGCATATCAATCATTATTATATAGAGTTCTTTTTCTTTACACTGTGAATGTCCACTTTCTATAGCGATTGAGCAAAATTCCAATGATATTGTCAAATTTTTAATTGATCATGGTGCTACTACAGAAGTTATTTATAAAATATGACATAAGATATTATATTATCATTTGTAAGCATTTTAAACCACTTTTAAAAGAATCAAAATTTAAGATGGTAAAAAAACCGTCAATTTTTTTTTTGAAACAAGTGATCAAACTTGTCCCTTCCATTTAGAGCCAAAAGAAGAATCAAATATTGTCAATGGTAAAGAAAGAACCATAATTGAAACAAAAGGATTCGATGATGGACCTTATATAACAGAGGAGCAAAGGGAGAAATTTGTAAATTATCTAATCAACAATCCAAACGGATTCAATGCAATAGGAATTGTAATACAAGCACACATTCAAAGAATTACTCCTGGTGTCAAAGATTTCATTAAATTTGTTTATGACATCTTTGGAGATAAAATATTCTCTCATCTCTGTATTATAAATACATTCTGCAATAGATATTTCCCTGATAGAAATATAAGGGAAAACGAGTTCAAAGAGGAAATCATGAAATATCTAAAAGAAATATCTGGAAATGATATAGTACCTGATGTCCCCCTTTTCTATGTAAATTGTCTCAAACCAGAAAAAGAATTTGTTGTTCAAAATCTGAAGAAATTCGAAGACTGGGTATCAGATCTCAAAAAAAAAAATCGTTATATGGAATCACCAAACGAAATAAATATCAATTTTGAAGGATATACAACTGAAATAGAGAAAGAAATAAATGTCAAAATTGATACTATATTATAAATGAGAAAAGTACATATGATTTATACATAGACCGGATCAGAGAGAAAATAATATCCAAAGAAAACAAAGAAGACATCAAATATTCAGATTGGAAAATAACCAAAGAACATATTGAGAAGATAACGGAGATCGTAGAAGAATATGATAAAAATGTATTCAAAGGATTTATAAACGAAGATGGAAAGAAATATATGATAACTGAAGATAAAGTACGAGAAGTTACTTTGTACTCTAAAATAGGCGAGAAAAAAGAAGGCCAATGGTCTGTGATCAAACAAAACAAAATACTTATTGATAAAAAAACGACAATAGTAGAAATTATGATTAAAAAATCAATAGACATAGTATCAGATGGGTATTATGAAATAACCGCAAAATATAGAAAGAAAGTTGAGGCAAACATTGATGGTGAAGTTATTTTTGGAGATTATGAAGAAATATCAGAAGCAAAGGAAATAAAATTTTTCAAATTTGAACATAATGAAAATAGTGAGAAGGAAGATGATAACAAAGATAATTTTATCAACCATAAATCTTCATTCGCAAGGGGTATTTTAACTATGCCTTTGTAAAGCCGATAAACTAACTTTTATCCTTAATGGTGGAAAATTAAAGGATTTTTATTATAATAACAGTTTTTATTGCAATTTTTAGGGAAAAAGAATATATAAGCAGTAAAATATGTGTATTTTAATTTTTACTTGATCTCAAAATTCCAAATTTCGAGGAAAATTTTCCAAATCAGCGTGCTTATTTTTGATGCTACTCATAATGCATTCCTTTTTGTACAAAGTTATTTAGCGATAATTCCGATCAACATTTTTATCACTTTTCATGTCACCTTTTATGAATTGGGCCGAATTAGATTTAGGCCTATTCAAAACATGTCAAGATTCAATGATATATCAAGACTTTCTATTTACCGATGGAATGAACTCTGAAAGTTCAATGACATCTCTTGAAGTAAATATGCCTAGAATTGATAATCATTTATTAACCAAAGGATTATTTTCTGTAAGTGATGTTTTGAAGTCAGGAGCTATTGTTCCTAACAAAGATATAACTATGTCTCAAATTCGAGAGGTTTGCGGCAAATTATTCGATCTCCAAACAACAAGACTCCAAGGACACAGTATTTTGCAAACGACAATGATTTCCATATACACAAACAAGCAATTTACCATCGAAAATGAACTATTAAACCATATAGTTTCTGCATTTGTTGTTGCATTGCGTGCAATCGAAAGCATTTCAGAGAAAGTCTTAACGAATCCAAACTCCTACTGGGCCATGACTAACAAATACGTTTCAAAATTGAGAGAAGTCAATAAGGTTGAAACATTAGAGTTTTTAACTAAATACAAAGCAGAACATCCAGAAGATTCCGATCTTATTGATTGTGCTCTTTTCGAAATTGACTTTGCAGACTACATATTTAACTATCCAAATGAACCAGTTCCAAAATTACCAAATTATATCAAAGAATCATCAGAAATTGGCATTTATCCACAGCTTTTCTTCAGAGATTTATCAATACATTCTCCTCCATCCCACGTAGACATCTTAACTCATGAAAAAGCCATTGAAATTTTCCAAGATTTTCTCAAATCATTGAACGAGATACACGAGATCAAAGAATGCACGACAATTGAAGAAATCGTCGATCTCACTATTGATTGGTCTAAAAAGAACCAAAATTGTTTGAATTTTCTCATAATATTATTTATCAGACGAATTGTTCAGTCCGAAGGCACTATTTTCAACAAGCATAACATATCCACCTTCCTTACTAGCGATTTGTCCCGCTATCACGTACCCAAATCCATATTTTCACATAAAGATTATCCAAACATTTCCAAGAACATGTTTATCTTCCTAGAATCATTCCTCAAGTGCGCATCCGGTCCATTTGCCTACGCCCATGCTGTTCTCTCGAAATACATTTTCAATATCTGGGTTCAAATCGGGCGCAGCTTCATTTCCCTTGAACAGCTCGCTTCCGCGACCTGGAAATACCCGATTACCGGTAACAAAGAATACGATGGTGTCATAAAAACCGCCATGATCCTTTGGACCACAAAAATTTCAATAAAACTGACACATTTCTTTGTTTACACCGGATTTCAAGTTGACGTTTACAATGACAACGACCATGCTACAATGGCAACGATTCTCCGGACATGCGCCAAGGACGCCGCAATTATCTACGAGCGAGAAACGGTGTTAAAAGCTGTTTATACTGCAAATGAGCACAGATCTGGAAAAAGTAAGAAAGTTGACGCTTCCAGGTACATTGTTGTTATGCCAGAGATTGCTCTATGGCGTGCAAAGGCTTCGTATTTCGAAGCTTGCTTCAATTTGTCGAGATGGGCGTATAAGAAAGATATCTTTGTCGGAGTTAACAAGGGAAAGTTCTTTAACTTCGGTAAAACATACCAGGAAAGAGTGATGCACCCAGATCAGGTCTTCGCACTCGAGTTTCCAACTGAATCCCAGTTTTTGGAAGAATTTAATTTTGATAATGTGTCAGAAGATCAATTGAAGAACATCGCGATAGCAAAGTTCAATGAGGCAAAGAAGTTCTTGTCTGATGCAATCATTCTTTACGGAAAAACTCCGGATAGATTGGATTTCTTGAGAGATATCATCACTTCTTCGTCTGTTTTGCTTGGTTATAAGGATGGAATGCATGTGAAAGTCATATACAAGGATCTTGGACTAATGTCTTTTGCTTTAGAGTGAAAAAAATTTATTGATATTATTATTTATAAATAAACTTGATATTATAAATTCTATTTAATCATAAGCATATCAAGTTTCATAACAATCGTCCCACTCCAGTTTTGAGTTGCTTACCAATTCTAAGAGAAAGTTAATGACAAATTTTCCACTTTCTGAGATGCTGTCATAATATCAGCATATCTTTATTTGAATAACAAAAAAAAGTATAACAGGCATATGAAGTACTATGTAGGGATTTATAATAATTTTTTTCCGATCAAAAATATTAGCTTTTTATCATAGATAATTTAGATATAAAAATTGAGTGTCAAAAAATTGAGAGAATGTCAGAAAGTGGTAAGTGGACCCTTGAGATATATCCTTTAATTATTTAATAATTGTCTTAGTGATGGTCTTTTTCAAGAATGCCTTTGTTTTTTAATGGAGTTCTTGAGAGATATCATCACTTCTTTGTAGTAAATAAAAAAAGCAAAGAATGAATGTGGAAATACTCCACTCATTATGGCGTCATCTTGTAATAATCTTGAAGTTGCTAAATATCTTATCTCTGTTTTTGGGACTAATAAAGAAACAAGGCACCACTCATTTTAATTATAAATCCCTAAGAATAATCTAGGGAGAAAAAAAAACTGCTCGAATAAAAAAATTATGTTTATTCCATAGTCTGAAAATCAATTTTTTATAAAGCATAAACAATGTAATTTGAAGAAATATTAATAATTTTGAATAGTAATTCAATTTGATCATATTTCGATAAATTTGACAAATATTTTTTATCATGTAGTTTTGAAGTATTAATTGGTTATTTTGTGTATTCTTTTATCATTGTTTATTGAATTTAAGTACGAAGATGAAGGAAATACAACATTGATCGAAGTTAGTCCAAGTGAAAGAATTGAGTTTCCGAAAAATGTTGTTCGAATTAAAGATTGTTCTGTTGTTGATAAACAGCCTCATATTTGTCCTCTTTCATCACTCAGAAACGTTTTACAATATTTAAGTTTTGAAGAAGACTCTTTACTCGAAAGTCTCGGTATTGGAACATTTTCATCATTTTCTAAACTAATAATTGCCAACTTAAGCATGTGTAATCATCTCAAGAGCATCAGCTCTGGCGCCTTTAAAAATAGTAATTTAAATCAAATTTTATTTCCAATGAATGGAGAATTGAAAACTATTTATTCTGCAGCATTTCATGGATCGAAATTAACAAATATAGTAATACCTAATTCTGTTTTATATATTAATGGTTATTATGATAATGAAATCTATGGTGGTGTTTTTGGGTACTGTCCATTCTTGGAGAATCTTATTGTATCAGAAAATAGTTTACTGAAATATATCGGATATGCAATTGGACAATCTGCTTCAATTGAAAATATTTTTATACCGCAAAACTGCAAGATCTCAACAGGATCTTTTAACTTAATGCGTAATCTCAATGTCACAATTGATTCAAGAAATAAAAATATTAGAATATATGATAATTGTATATATAGTTATGATTACAAGTCTTTGTTTTGGATTCCAAATTTATATCCAAACTTTTTTACTTATAATCCAAATTGCCGCATAATTGAAAGTGAAGCCTTCAGAGGATATGAATCAAAATATGATTTAGTTATTCCATTGTTTATAACAATTGTAAATCAAGGATCCTTTAATGGTTGTTATAGCAGATCAATCATCTTCCAAAGTGTAATAATTCAATCAATAGAAAATACAATGTTTTTCAGGTGCACAGCAGTTGTTAAAATGCCTCCTCAACTTAAGATAATAAAATCTGAAGTGTTTCATTCGTATTCCGGTAACTTTATTGAGTTCGATTCTGAGCTGAGAATGATTGAAAATAGTTGTTTCATTGATTGTCAATATTTGGAAATCGTTAAATTTAGGAAATTGAATAATAGCATGATAATTGATTCGAATTCATTCATCAATTGTCCAATATTAAAACATTTGATATTTCCATTGGAGAGTAGTGATGTTATAACATTTAATTCATCATGTTTATCTCAATGTGATGCATTTAAAGGTGTTAAGTTTATGTCTTAGTTCCTCGAAATGTTATAAATTTTAATGTCAGTAAGACGAATCTTGATGTTGAAGTAGATACTATCAACGTGGACAACGATTATATTAAATGTGGAAAAATCCACATGAAACATCCATTTGATGACAAATGTCATTTCAATATTCGCTCCTGCAATATATTTTATTCATCTTTCAATCTTCAATATTTAATTATTTTCATTTTTATTCTTTCTGAATAATACTGCATTTGTTATGAATACAACAAATAGTTCAACATAAACATGATATTTTGATCTGAAGACATTTATTAATAATTAATATTCCTTCATAATAAAATAAATCTTTACTATATTTGATTTCCATGCATCTTGGGCTTTGTTGACAAAAGACAAACAATTATAAATAGTACTTAATGCTATTCTATAAATCCATTTCTACGAAGAATTTCAACAATAGGTTCTCTATTGAGACGTAACGCAAATTGAAGAGGAGTTTCATTCTCGCTATTTTTAGCACATTTATCTATATTTGGTTGTGTACTTAGGTACTCGCATACATCCACATTATTATAATGGATAGCTTTATGAATAGGAGTCATTACCGCATCATCTTTGGCATTGATATCTAAGAATTTAAGCGCAAATTTGACCCATTCTAGATTTCCTCTATAGCAAAAGAAATGAAGAATTGTACGATTGTAATTGTTTTTACTTCTTATATCAGCACCATAATTAAACAAATGTTTCACAAGACAAAGATTACTTTCCCGTGATGCCTCAAGAATCATGTTTCTTCCATATTCTTGTCGAACATCAGTATAATTTTCTTCTACAGCATATTTGATTGTTAAGGCTCCGGTCCCACCCTCTCAATTTTAAAAGTTTTAATATCTCCACCAATATGAGTTTTTGATACTTTTATTTTAGTACATGATATCATTATGTAATACACTATAGTATAGTATATTTAAACTGAGTATTACTATTATAGTTCATCTTATCTGAGAATTCGGTATTTTGACAAATTTCAACTTTGACCGGTAAAACTATTTATAATCAAAAAAGCCCACGATATTTTATAGCATATTAGTGATACATTATATTGTTATTAGTAAACTTGATTTACAATCTCTTCTAGATGAGTAATTTGTTTTTTTGAAAAAATCCGACAAATCACTTTTTGACAGAATCTAGATATTTTTGATTTGTGAAAGTTTTAATAATATGATAAGGTTTATATATGCTATCATAATAATAATAATCATATAATGTTACATTATCGCTATATATGTCGAATATTAAAAAATTGTATATTAACATTTTTTGTCATATCTTGATAATAAAGAAAAAAACTCTCAGTTCCCCATCGACAAATTGTTAGAATGCAACTAAAGTTTATTTTGATATAGTGAGTTTGCTTCTAAAAAAATATATGAAAGAAGAATTAGATTTGCAAGACCCCTATAAAAAACGATTTTTGCGTCGAGAATAACTTCATGCACGATTAATTGATATGATAATAAAAATCATATATGATAATTACTTAATATAGGCAACAATATTGTATTAATCACTTTTTGTCAAAACGGTTTTTCGATAATTGAGTATTCAATTTTCCAAAAATCCATTCAATAATTTGATTTATAATTCAACGTATAAGAAAAAACTCTCAGTTCCCTTTCGACAATTTGTAAAGAAAATTATATAGTTTCTGTCGACACTATTTGTATATTCTACCTTCTTCGGTATTTCGAAGAATTAGGTTTGCAAATTTGATATTTTTGATGTATTTTTTCAAATTGAGAGTATTTTTGACGATAGAAGTAGGTGTTTTTTGAATTACAATTTTATATTGATGTGCATGATAAAAATTTGAACTTATATTATGGTGACATAGTATAAGTCATAATATATTAATATACAAAAGATATTATCAAAAAATTCCTTTCCAATATGTATAAACAAATCGATTTTTTAAATTAAATTTAAACCTTAAACTCAATATATTAAAAAGTGACATTATTTTAATTAGAAGTACAAAAATCCATAGTCATAGAATTATCAAATGATTGAAAATTGTTATAATTGGGCACATTATACTCATTTATGAATTTACTATACTATATACTTTGCAAATTTAAAAATCCAAATTTTCAATTTTTAAAATATCATTATTTATCATATATCAAATAGTAAAGTTAGTATATATCATGTTTAAAACGATAATATAGTCAAATTCGAAAATTTTAAAAATAGATAATATTTAATTTTTACAAAATATTGGTATATGTGCAATCTATTGGTATATTTTTACTCCTTATTAGACACTCGTCCTAACTATATGCAGTAATCATGCAGGACCGGAGCCTTAAAAGATCTCCTTCAGCTGACGCCTTGTTTAGAATTTCATATATTTTTTCAAAATCATTTTCAACCTTTCGTAAACTAATCAATTTTCTCATATTTTCATTTGAGTTATCAATTTTATGGAGTTCTTCAATATGAGAAATATTCAATTTCATATCAGTACTAAATTCATTTACATTAGAATGTTGAAGCATTTGTGGATTTGTGTTTGCATCAAAATTATTCCCACAAGGAGCTTGAATCTTATGTCTTTTTGTTTCTGAACTGGTATCATTTACATTGGGGAGTTCTAGTTTATCAGAAATTGTTGAAAGATTAAGGAGTGCATCCATGAAAACCTGGCTTGAAATGTATTCTAAACTATGTTTTGTCGCAAAGTTATGGATAGATTTAATAACATTTTGGCTGCAAAATTCGACTTTGACATAATTAATTAGAGAAAAAAATGAAATATCATTCTGGCTCAATGTTATAATTGTATTGATTATTGAGTCTTGACTTGATATTTTGAGTGATTTTGAAGTCAAAATTCTCTCAAAAAAGTCATATCCGTATCGCTTAATAGTTGAGATTTTATATTCTTCTTGGAGATCAAACATATTTGATGCAAAGAATGCAACGCATTCGTTAATCTTTTTTGTGTCGTTCTGAATTGATGCGCAATCATAGATATCATTAAAGTTTTCTTTGTTTATTTCTTTGTATGATGACAATACAAATGTACAAAACACGTTTGTTAAGAATTCCATGCCAAACGCTTTACCAACTTCGAATATGTCTCGATTATGTGATTGGTCGTTCTCGAATCTGAGAACACCTGTTTTGAAAAAATTGGAAATGATATCAATTGTATTGTTGCATGATAGATGTAAATATTTGCTCACTGATTTAATTGAACGATCCCGCAAATATTCATCATGAACGAATTTCGAAGTCATGATTGAAACATATTTTGATGTTTCTATTATCACGTTATTAATATTTAAAGATAGTATTTCTGCACCTTTAATATCGTTTCCAAACTCGATCGATGTACACTTAATGCTAATGAGTGCCATTGATTTTTCTATAATTTATTTTTCTGGATTTTTTTATTGATCACTTCACTTCATCACTTAAATAAATTACCATCAACGATACAGCTTTTAAATATTTTAATATATTATTAACTTTTTCGTAGTTATGTGAGATATTTGAAGCAAGAAATCATTAATTTTGTTCATTAATTTGGTCAATTTTGCTATTTTGAGGACAATTAAAGCTTTCTTAATTCTCTTCCTTATGATGATTTGTTTCCACTAGTTAAATAGCAATTAAACTTATTGCATCTTAATCAACTTTAAGCTATCTTTAGATATATGGCATTTGAGTTAGATTGAAATGAATGTTTGTAATATGGTGTCTTTGAATATAATATATTCTATAGACTGAAAATCTAAACACACTTTAAATTGAAGAAATATTAATAATTTTGAATAGTAATTCAATTTTGATCATATTACGATAAATTTGACAAATATTTTTTATCATGTAGTTTTGAAGTATTAATTGGTTATTTTGTGTATTCTTTTATCATTGTTTATTGAATTTAAGTACGAAGATGAAGGAAATACAACATTGATCGAAGTTAGTCCAAGTGAAAGAATTGAGTTTCCGAAAAATGTTGTTCGAATTAAAGATTGTTCTGTTGTTGATAAACAGCCTCATATTTGTCCTCTTTCATCACTCAGAAACGTTTTACAATATTTAAGTTTTGAAGAAGACTCTTTACTCGAAAGTCTCGGTATTGGAACATTTTCATCATTTTCTAAACTAATAATTGCCAACTTAAGCATGTGTAATCATCTCAAGAGCATCAGCTCTGGCGCCTTTAAAAATAGTAATTTAAATCAAGTTTTTCTTCCTATGAATGGAGAATTAGCCAATATTAACTCTGCTGCGTTTCAAAATACAAAACTTAAGAGCTTCACTCTTCCTGATTCTGTTATCAATATTCAAGGATATATCGATAATGAAATTGAAGGTGGCGTTTTTACAGCTTGTACATCCTTACATAATTTAGAAATATCAAAAAATAGTTTACTGAAATATATCGGATATGCAATTGGACAATCTGCTTCAATTGAAAATATTTTTATACCGCAAAACTGCAAGATTTCAACAGGATCTTTTAACTTAATGCGTAATCTCAATGTCACAATTGATTCAAGAAATAAAAATATTAGGATATATGATAATTGTATATATAGTTATGATTACAAGTCTTTGTTTTGGATTCCAAATTTATATCCAAACTTTTTTACTTTTAATCCGAATTGTCAAATTGTTGAAAGTGAAGCATTTAGAGGATATGAATCCAATTTTGATTTACTTATTCCATCATTTTTAACGACAATTAAACCATATGGATTTTTTGGTTGCTTTTCCAAATCAATCATTTTCCAGAATGATAACATTCAAACTCTTGATGTGCTTATTTTTCACTGGTGTGCATCTGTAATTAAAATGCCTCCAAAACTAATGGTTGTGAAATCTGGAATATTTAACACTTATTTAGGAAGTTATGTTGAATTTGATTCTGAACTGCAAAAGATTGAATCAAAAAGTTTTATTGATTGTAAAAATTTGCAAAAAATAAAGTTTATAAAGTTAAAAAGTAATTTGATAATTGACTCTGATTCTTTTAAAAATTGTCCAAAATTAGAACATTTGGTGTTCCCTTTGGAAAGTAGTGATGTTATAACATTTAATTCATCATGTTTATCTCAACGTGATGCATTTAAAGGTGTTAAGTTTTATGTCTTAGTTCCTCGAAATGTTATAAATTTTAATGTCAGTAAGACGAATCTTGATGTTGAAGTAGATACTATCAACGTGGACAACGATTATATTAAATGTGGAAAAATCCACATGAAACATCCATTTGATGACAAATGTCATTTCAATATTCGCTCTTGCAATATGTTTTATTCATCTTTCAATCTTCAATATTTAATTATTTTCATTATTATTCTTTCTGAATAAAAATAATATTAATACTTGTTCAAATTATGCATTTGTTATAAATACAACAGATAGTTCGACATAAACATGATAACTATATCTTAAGACTTTTAATCTGTTTATTATTATTCCTTGGACATAAAATATGTGCTTTCTATATTTGATTTCCATGTATCTTGAGCTTTGTTAATCAAAGACAAATAATTATAAATAGAAAAAATACATTCTGCGTAGAATTTCAACAATATTTTCTATAGTGAGATGTTTTAACTTCTTTTTTCACACGGCACAAATATCAATGAAAGATTTCAATTATGAAAGTTTAATTAGATGTATAATGTCGAAATGCTGGATTTCATTAGAAAGGATGATTCGCAGGAACTGTTAGAATAAAAATTTATTCAGAAAGTTCTTGGAA